TTTTTTTCATCAAAATGACTAGCATTTCATTGATGCTAGCTTTAATGCTAGAAAGTTTTTCCTAGATAAAAAAAAGATTATCCAATCTTCTGCTGAAAGTAGACTCCAAAACCAGGAATGCTGTTTACAAGAATCTATTTTAAAGACACTTTTGTTGTGCTCCCTGCTTCCAACATTTCCACTTTATTTAACTGCTCAAAACAGCTCTCTGGCCATTTTACGACTCAATCAACCATTTAGCAGCTATTCCCAGCACTCTTATAACAAGATTGGGGGAGTCCTGAAGCAATCTTAAGACACAAAGCAGGGAAAAACACGCTTCTGTTCTGTTCTTAAAAATAAGAAAAGCCACCCACTGTTTCCCCCGAGTTTGTAGAAACTTTATCAGTTGTTGTGTAGATATAAAATGAGGCTTGTTTGGCAGGAATTTTTATCACTTGGCGAGAAGTGACAGAAAAAACCCGTGCAATTTAATTTGATTGCTGCTGTAAATCGTTTAGGTAAATAATAAGCAAGGCAACAAGGATTTACCACATATTCAGTGGTCCATTGCATGAAATTGGAGTGGGCACGAGCATTGTGACAGTGGATCCGAGAAAAGCAACAATGAATGTGCCTTTTTGGAGGAAGTTGGGGGCTTTATAAGATGATGAATTTACAATTGGGAGATTCTGTTGTGAACATTTCTGACTGCAGCTAGGGTGGTCTGACGATGGACCACTTTACTTGGTCTGACAAGTCAATAATTAGTTTTTGGACTGGGTACATGCATTTTAACGCACAATATTACAAATTCTATTCAAACCTGAATTTTTGGCGTCCTAGTTTGTGACAAAGCTGAAAAATTGACAACAATTCTGGTAATGTTTTGTTCAACAAGTTAATACTCCATGTTGAAGCCACTTCTATTGGGCCAAGAGTAAATTCTTGCCTTCTGTGATATTTCCTCCAGAATGTTTGTACACTAAACAGGTTACCCTCAATAAACAAGCAATACCTTCAGTAGGCCTTTATTTTGACAAAGGTAAGAGGTTTTACTAGGCTTTAATTTATGTTCCCAATGAAAACAAATGGGTCATTCTACAAATTTAGGGTCCAAAGTGTGACATTTTCCTGTCCCTGTTACTTCAAAACTTTTTAATTTGCCGTCCAAGTACCATGACTTCAAATGATTTTTTTTTTTTATTTGGTGGATAAGGTTTGATATTCATGATCATTACTGGAGGATGACATGCATTATTAAAGGAGTGCATCCAAAATTACAAAATTGTAGATGTCAGATGTAACAGGGATCCCAAATTTATGGAATGACCCAGATGCAAACTTTGGGGGGAGGGGGGGGGGCATAGGTGATGAATTCTTCTCTGATTGGATAATATGTGGGGACAAAAATTAGTGAGACATTTGTAACAGGAACGGAAAACCAAATACACTACACAGTTTGCTTAACTGAAAAGAAGGGGGAAAAATACTTCAGGCTATCAACTCGTTAAGTTTTTTTGTCAACCGTCGAAAACCATTGACATTTTCAGCCTTAAATAAGACACCACCAGTAACCCCAAAAGAAATCAATGCAGTAAATTAAGCAGAACGAGATGAATTGTGTCCATTTAGGTAGTTTTGCAACATTGTTGCAGTTTGTAATGGCACTTAAAAGTATTGAGTTCGGTGACATGAAAGGTTAGCGGACGCTCGTTAAAAGATCTCGCAAGGACTGGGCGGTAGTAATTTCTCAGTATTCACTGGAATGAAATAAAAGGTGTTTGAGATTACTATAAATCTCGGGCCATTAAAGTCGTAATTTTGCACAGGTCTCGGGAGAAATGCCCAATGTAATGAAATCTTTGGTAGATCAAGGAAAATTGAAAGTACGTTACCTGGGTTCAGTCTTACAACCTCAACAGAATCTTTTCAATTTGAACAAACACAAAGGGAAAGCGGATATTAAATTAAAGACTGAAGTAAATTTAGATGTAGGTAATGTTTTATGATCCGTATAAATCTTTAATTCAATACTTTAAAAAAAGGCATCCGTCTTGATTTGTTACTTGTGCAACAGGCTTTACACATTTTTTTTTTTAATTCCCCATACCCAACCTTTCCAGTTTAATTTTTTTTTCTTCAAGTCTGGATATGTTATCTTTTGTATCTCAGTTTCCATGGCAACTGAGAATATTCAGCGTGAAGATCTTCCGTTTATTGACTTAACGGTTTTGATCTATGAGACAACACATCTTTTTCAATTGTGATCCAAGAGACAACGGACAACATCATCAATTATGACCCAAGGTATACACCGACGCTTGAACCCTGGCCGTTTTGTTTAAACCCGAATCCTGCACGCACGCATTTGTCTATGAAAACAGAAGAGAATGCGTGATAAAATTTGCCACAAATCAAGCTCCACAGACAGTCGTAAATTGCCGCAAATCTGCCTCAGGGGTCAAGTCCGTGTGTATTAGTCTTTAAGACACCTCCTAGACAGTACCTTTCAGTGCAAAGAAGTTTCTGTGCACAGGAGTAAAAACAACAGATCTTTATCACCTTTGTGTCGGCGATAAATTTGAAACCCTTGTCAAATAAAACGTCTGTTAAGGCCTCTCTTGCCAAGAAATAATGGCCACGCAATGTTTTTTCCCCGCAGCATCCTTACAATGATTTTCCTTATAATTATTCCGGGGGATAAGTGACTACCCTGCCTTCATGATGGTGTTTTTTCCACGGATGAGCAGCATTTCGCTTCACACCTAGTGGAGAAAAAAACTGGCGGCACCTTCCTATTTAGCCCCTTTGGAAACCTATTTCTGTGACTCCCAGGAAAATAGTTGGTAGACTCTTTCGTAAACATCCGAGTTGACAAATGAAGCCATTTATTTAGACAGCTCGTCGTAATCCACACCGTACGGCCCCGGCCATAATCATTTTTAACCATTATCGAAAGGCTCCGGAACAGCTTAACTGATATTCATATTTCATCCGACAAGAATGTTTCTCGATTGCAGGTGTATCAAGTATCAAGTAATTCATCAGCTGCTGGTAGCAGTTGATATAAATGATAAAATCAGTTGATCTTAGACCTTTGATCTGTACAAAGAGCTGTACTTTTTTTCATTTTTTAAAGGAAACTTAAATTCAATTTAAATTGAATTTTTATGTTTAAACAGTTCCATCCTATCATCCTATCCCTTTTTATTAAATTATTTCACCAAACTATCTCAAAATATACAATTGAGAGACATAATATAGTTTCAATCAAGTCAAAATACAGTAAAATAATTTTTTTTTAATTTAAAGAGAGGGAGAGAGATTTGGTTTTTGTCTGTAAAATATCACTGGAAAGCATCACCCAACGCATTTCGAGACCCTGATAAAAGTGACAAAATTTAGGGAGTCTAACACCCCCCCCCCCCCCCCCCCCCCCCCCCCCCCCGGGCTGCACAAAATAGGGAAATTGTGCCGAAAAAACACAGCGCATGCCTGCTAAACCCATTCTTGATCCAAACCTGGACCCGCCCCTGATAACAAATCATGTGTAGCATTGTCTAGTCTTAGGAAGAGGTCAAAATGTATTGGGAATTCACACAGCAGGTCCATGTGCAGGTCTACTGGGCGTTAATATAAATGAAAATTTGCCAATCCTGTTTCTTCATCCTGGTCCCTTTCTCTATTCTCCATTTTCTCTTTTTCCAGCAGTTTGGCGGTAGTCTGCACTGATACATGCAGTTCCTTTGTGTGATGTAAAGTTAGCTTTTTTTTCTCCAGAAAAGTTCAGGGAAATTCAAGAGCTAAACACTTCCCAAATGTTACCCTTTTTAACCATTTTGCCATTTACCAGTGTAAAGTCCCTAACACTCTTTACTCTATTCGGTTCACGCCTGCCGAGCAGATCCCAGCACAAACACCCATCGGTCATGATCAATTTGTCTCATCCGGGGAGTGGTAAGCCGCACCGCCCTCTCAGGAATCGGTGAATCTTCTTGTTTCTTGCCCCCTCCAAGGAAAAGCCTACTGCAAAGTTTAATTTCCTGTATGCTTGAACAAACTGCAACTTCAATCCCCTCTTTTCCCTCGTCTTCCCGACCTGCTAAAAAAAACCTCCCTCGGATATTCAAGCTTTGGTACGTGTAGGTACCGGTATCTTGGCACTGTCTCGCGATGATTTCAAGCAACAGTTGTCTGGAGTCGGTCTCCTCTGCCTAGTACAAGCTGAGTCATGCCAGACTATCTAGCGTCTTGAGATTGCCGGGCCAACATTCTGCAGTGTCTCATTTAACATTTTGACAGCTTCTTAAAAGTTCCACTTATTGTTTCAACCCCAGATGAACTATGGCAAGAAGTGACAAGGGCCAGTCATGATTGGTCGTTTCTTCCGAGGCACACCTGTGGCTTGACCTCGGTGACCCCTTCCTCACACCCCCCCCCCCTTCAAATAAATCCAGCTTATTAAGACCATTTCCTTTCATACCTCATAATCTGTCACAGGTTTGAAAATACATGCGTAATTTAAATCGCTAAATGAAAAAGGTTTGCATTTGCATGTACCATATGCAGCAGTGATCTGTGCAAGTGTTTTTTCTCCTTTGGGCAATATGTGACTTCCTTTCTATCCAATTACATGAGGGAATTGGTTTAAGAAAATTCTGGAAGCAATTTTAGACTGGGGCTCCTAAATTTAAGATGAATGTGTCAGATACTTTTCTTTTACCGTGACCAGTAATCTGTCGAGGACAGAGGCATAATCAATAACTTACGTTCAGTTTGGCCCAAGATTGAATGCAATTTTTTGAGTTTGTGTTGTGGGTCATTAGGGTCAACTTGCAATTTACAGGGTGCAATTTCGTAAAAAAAACTTGGTTTAGGTTACTTTCAAATTGGTTTTCTTAACTTTTAAGATGGAGGGGGGAGCTTACAAACTAAGAAAACCAAGTATGCATTCTTTAAAATGTTTTTTAAAAACTGTATATTCATCTTACATCTTATCTTTTTCCCCTTTTTTTCAGACAATTGACTCCAACATGAGAGTGAAATGCAAGTGCCACGGCGTCTCAGGTTCCTGCACCTCCAAGGTCTGCTGGAACACCATGCCCAAACTGGAGGAGATCGGACGCATCGTCTTCGACAAGTACGAACAGGCCAAGTTCATGACCTACTCACGCAAACGCCGCCGATTACGCCCCAACAAGAAGGACAAGTCTGCACGCGGGAAGCCGTCAAATACGGACTTGGTCTATGTGCTGCCCTCGGTGGACTACTGCGAACCTAACAAGAAACACGGTTCCATAGGGACCCACGGTAGGCTCTGCAACAAGACCAGCATGGAAGAGAACGGATGTCCTTTGCTTTGCTGCGGCCGGGGTTATCAGACCATGGTGCGGAAAACCAGAGGAAACTGTAACTGCCGGTTCGAGTGGTGCTGCGAGGTGGTCTGCGAGACGTGCGAGTTGTCTGAAGAACTGCACATTTGTAACTGAAAATTGTTTCTTCACAACGAGATCGGCGTATCTGAACCATTTTTTTTCTTAAAGCACAAAGTATCTTTGGACGGACAGCTGATGAATTGTGCTCAGTCATTGGGTACAGGAAATCTTCCGTTTGTGTTGATTGCCATTTCAAGAGTTGACACGTCTTCAGATTTTGATGCATGAGGCAGGCAATACATGAATGAAACTGTGGCTTGGCGAACAGGAAACACTGGATTTGGAGATAATAAAGCGGACTACATTCTGTCCAGATTCCTCAGTTAAGAAATCTTCAAACAATTAAGAAGTGACAGTAACTGCATGACAAGCACCGCACTAAGTTAAGCTGTTCATTTCCCCACCGTTTTATCTTGTCAAAATCAAACAAGCTTGAGCATGAAGACACAAACAACAAATTAAAAACACTTCATGAGTATGAAATAAATGGAGCTTGGACTCAATAGTCAGTGGTCTGCAAACTTGTTTTCCAAAGTCCATCACAACTCTGGTCGGAAAAGGTACAATAATGAACCAAGCGCCCTTGGATGTGTGGCGCCCTCATACTTGTGGATGAAGCAATATGGCAGAAATGAACTGCTGTGGTTTGCAAATTCATTAAACACACACAACAAATTGAGACATTTATAGCTTGACAAAAGATGCAAAGGCCTGCCCAACAGATGACAAAATCGACCAGATGCTGGCATATTTGGAGAAAGGGATAACAGCTATTTTATTATTTTTAATTTTTTTTCTTTTGCTGACTTACAGCACATAATATCCTTAACATCTCTGCAGAGGGGGCTGTATAATTGGTCAGAGAATAAAAAAGACTAAAAAAATACTTAAAATCATGTCTCAGCAAAAGCGTCTTTCATGGATTAATTCAAAAATTGGATTGTATATACACTGTTTATGTTTGACATTAAAGGTATAAAGTGTGTACAGTGTAACTTAGCGGACGCATGCATTTTCGTGTATTTATCAGGGTACGGAAGGTATTTTGGTGTTGGGGATTCCATATAGGGAACTTTATTCCCACAATTATTTATTCATTGGTTTTGAAATAATGCTTATTTGAAAGCTGTGTATTGTCAGAATTTGTTTATCTGATCAGACATTGTTTAAAAAATGAGATAATATTTTTTGAGAAGTGTAAAGCCAAATTGTTAATATTAAACTGAGGATTGTTAATTTTAGTAAAAATAAAGGTAAGTGCCTTGAAATAACAAGCTTAGGGTTGATCCAGAAAGTTTGGGTGGGGGGTGGGGTCTCTCTCAAGTAAAAATTGCCTTATTTGAGAAAATTTGGTGACTGCCGGGGGGTGCGTGCGTGCCCCCTCCACACCCCCTGGATCCACCACTGAATAAAGATATAAAAAACCAAGGCTTTTTACAACTATTCTTGAAGATCTTGATTATAAATTTGAGACAGGAATTCCCAGTTTTGTTTTAGTTTTGGCTTTCCCATCAATGAATTCTCATGAGTTTCATACAAAGAGTATAGGTTCATTTCAGTATTTTTGTCTTGTATTCACTGAGTTGAAACATAACAGAGGTTGGTTTTTAACATCCTGGTAAAAAGACAATTGATTCTATGGCCCTTTATATAAAGTATGACATTTTTGTAATTCTAACAATACAAAATTGCAGAAAGCTTGGCTGTATTGAACATTTTAAAACTTAGGCAGTTAGCTAGAATCCAGAGTTAATTCCCCAAATCACTTGTCTTATATTGTTGTTATAAATATATTGTGTATTGTATTTTATAATAAATTGGTATTTACAATGATTGATACAAAAAAATGTAAATAAAGTATTATTTTTCTTAAGCATGTACAAAAATGAAGTGTAAAAACCAAGATTTTATGAACGATGTGATGAGGATGCATGCACATGTTGGCACATGTTGAGACAGTGAAGATGTAAGAATTCAATGTGTTAATATGTCTTTAGAATTCCAAGTAGGTACCAAATGGTTGGGTGACCTTAACTTTTAGTGTCAGATGGGTCATTCTACAAATTTGGGGTCCACTTTTTGTCCTGTCCCTGTTACATCCGACGTCTATAATTTCATAATTCTGATGCTCTCCTTAATGCGGTCGTCCTCCAAGAGTGATTATTAATAGCAATTACTACCAACCCAACAAACAAAATATGGTTTGAAGTCATTCTTGATGATACTTGAATGGCAAATTTCAAATTACTTTGGATCCTAAATTGATAAAAACGACCCATATTTGTGACAACTCTGGAAACTGATAAGACCATTTTACATTTTCAGAGGTCCAAAAACCAGGTTCGCACTGAAAAGTTTTCAGTATTGAAGGTTTCTAATGGGTTTCGGTGAAAATTTGCATCGTGTGATATTACCTGTTTCTTCTCTTCCTTGGGGGGGGGGGGGAATAAATTAGTCAAGACAAGTTATTAGACTTGGTTTTTTTTGTATGCTTTTATCTCCACAGTAGTTTTTTTTTCTCACCCCCTTTTTGGTTATAGGATTTGTATTAATCTTTTCTCATACTATTTAAGTGAAGTAAAAATACAGTTCGAGATATTGATTTATCATCAGATTTGGTTCATTTTTGGACCCATGTAATTAAATATACATCATTTGTCTATTTAAGTTTTATACATTTATCATCTGATGTAGTTTTTGTTGCTACGACAGTATATGCAAACTTTTATTCAAGTTTTACCTTTTCCATGTGATACATTAATCATATTTATAACCCGTAGGACAAAAATTTAAAAAAAAACCTGGAACATACAATGGACCTTATTCACGAGGAAGCCATCTTGGTCGTGTTCCCTGAATGTATTTTATAAGTTGTGAACTGTTGAGGGGGATGGTGCCAGACTATTTATGCATTCTAGCTTCACTTTCAATATTTTTTTCAAATGTCCCTTAAAACATTAGGGTATGTTTAATCACAAATTTATAAATTCAGAGCAGACTGGTATTAATTTGTAATTTACTTTATGTCAATGCTTTCATTTCTCTTCGCAAATTCCAAAACTGAAGATTTTACCTCGCTTTCAATTTAATATGGCCGACTCATGAATAAAGCCCATGCATACATATCTGCAATTTATGAATTTGCTTTCCCATTTCCCCTTCTTTTTATATTATCACGCTGTACATGTACATGTAGTTTGCTGCTGTTGTATATTCTTGCCTAGGAACCCCATTATTGTTGTTTGTTTAATTTGGAAATAATGAAAAAGAAAAATTGGTTTTGCTGAGGTATTATTATGCAAGTATAAGATTTGTACGATATTTGAAATGGCTCCAGTGGGCAGATGGACATTATTTTGGTGGATTATACAATAAATAAATGGAACATCATATCAATGATGAATTCTTGATCTGGTTTTATTGCACTGTATCATTTAAGGGTCTGGTCTAGAGGTTATGGAACTTAAGGTTAGTGACTCATGATGATTGATAAGAGGGTCTGGGTTCGAACCCAGCTGCTGACTATTATGTTATTTCCTTGGGCAAGCCACTTAACTCCAACTTGCCTCTCTCCTTCTATGAGTACAAATGGGTACCCACATAAACTGACCAGTAATCAGTTATGCCATCTAAGGAGAATAGAAATGTTCAGTTGCTTTGCGGGGAAACCATAGTAAAACACCGGCCTGATAATCGCTACATTGACACGCGACACTATTTTTTCCTCTGTAGGCCTACACAATTATATCACCATCTCCTTGGTTTCAAGCATTTCGTTGAACTTCCATCTGATAGATTTTGTGTAACCAATGGCCTGGGGTGAATCACTGTACCTGGGATTTTTTAGGTAAAACGGAACAGTTATTTCAGCGTAAAGTGAATGGTATTCTGTATTTCACATGCACAAGATGTATACCCTTGCAATGTAAATGCTTTGATCATGGTAGTGAACTACCCACAATGCTTTGTTGTTCCTTCACAAAACACTGTGAGAGAGATTAAGTGGTCCCCAGCACCTTTGATATGTTAGGTCAATGGTGGGTACCAGGAAACTGCAGCCTGCAAATTTAGATGAACTGATTTGGCAATGATAAAACCAGGCTGCAGGAATGTACTGCCATTTGTCAAACTTCAGCTTTGCTTTTTGGCTTTGGCTTTGGCCGCTGTGGCGAAAGCCAATTCATGTGCCAAGATTTCAATACTGTCAACCATGTCAACATGTTTACGGTCTCCCAACCCAACTCCATGTCTTATATGTGTCACTGTTACAGCAGAACTTCAACACAACATGGCTTTTCATGACCCACATAGGTAAACACTAAACATGTAACCACACCGTTTTCCCCGCACATTACTTCTGACAAATGCCCCCTAGTCCCGAATATAGACTTTGGACCGAGTTAATCATGTAATAAATGTCATGGACAAAACAAACTCCTGTCGCCTAGGACTTTCAAATTTTTATGCCTTGGTCTGTAAAAACCAGGTGTCTCACGTCAAGCATTTCTCAAGGTGTTACACTGTATGTCTTTAAAACAAATCGGTTATTCATGGGTTGGGGACCTGTTGGTTCAGTTTACATGGGAAGCTGCAAGGTCCCTATGCTGTGGAAAACAGGTGGAGTTATGTCAGCCAATCACAACAGCTGTTCATTTGTAGACAAGTTTAATTGGTTGTTATGTTATGAGTTCTATCCAGCACTCAAGCCTCAACTTCAAGAACCATATTTTGATTCGAGAAAAAAAATTAAAAGCTGGACTTTGAGTTCAGAATGCTCCGACAGTCTTCAAGATAGTGATAGACAATGTTTCTCTCAAATTCTCAAATCAACTTGCTGTTTTCCGAGTTAGTCTCACATCCAAAAGCTTTCTCGGTTTTGTGTTCTCCACCATTCAAATAAGCCTCATATCAAAGGTGTAGTTGAGTCCATCACAAGTACCTACAAGTCCATCAAAGCCCCATCACAAGCCCATCACAAGTCCTCACAAGCCCATCACAAGTCCTCACAAGCCCATCACAAGTCCTCACAAGCCCATCACAAGTCCTCACAAGCCCTTCACAGGTCCTCCCAAGCCTGTCACAAGTCCCACCAAGCCTATCACAAGTCCTCCAAGCCTATCACAAGTCCTCCAAGCCCATCACAAGTCCTCCCAAGCCTATCACAAGTCCTCACAAGTTAATCACAAATTCTCACAAGCCCATCACAAGTCCTCCCAAGCCTATCACAAGTCCTCACAGGCCCATACAAGTCAATCACAAGTCCTGAAAAGCTCATCACAAGTCCTCAAAAGCTCATCACCAGTCCATCAAAAGCTCATCATCAGTCCATCACAAGTCATCACAAGTCATCACAAGTCTTCACAAGCCCAGCACAAGCCTATATCACAAGTAATACAGTCCCTAGTCAAGTCAGACGCTATTGAAATGAACTTAGGCATGCCCTGCTACTTGAGCCCAGATTTTTAAACGTGTTGTTTACTTGTTTCCGGACTTGTGATTTGACTTATGATTTTACTTGCGACTGGACTTGTGATGGACTTTACAACACAGCCACAAATCACAATTTGCCCGACACAGATCCTCACACCACACTTCTGACAAGCATCCGGCAACCTTCACCAACTCAACATAAATCTTACCACACTGGGAAATAAAAAGACTGATGGCCCTTCTACAATAGAACACCCTGCACACTTGTGTACAAAACCTGTCCACTCCAGTCCAAACAGTAATAAAAAACAGAATTCAAAGTGTTCTGACAGTTTACAGCAAGAATTCTGCTCCTCCATGGCAGTAGGATTTGACAGACCCCAGGCACCTAGAGAAGATAAACAGTTTCTGACAAACGAAAACCAGTTGAAATATCTCCTGAAATAAAACAACTCCTCAATAACGGTTGTGTTTGTGGCACAGGGGTCAGGCGTATAGATGTATATTTGGGTGACGCGCCCATCATTCACTGAAACATCAAAAAGATGGAGGTTGGGAGCAAGACTTGCGTATATCACAGGATGCTATGATCGAGTTCATATGGTGCCTGTCAGTGCATTATTCAATACAACACTTGTTTTCCCAATATTTTCCAAGTTGTCAACTTGCAACCTGATGGCTCATTTAAAAATGTCTGAGTAAAAGTGGAAGCCATACACCATACACTTACAAAGGCAGATTAATAAATTTCAACAGCATTATCCAGAAATTTCAATTTTAATGCATCGCGACAGTAGAAGAAATGTGAAAATGTATCAAGTGAAATCTGATCGTTGGATCGTTCAAACACTAAAACTGTTTTTTTATGAGTTGGTACAGGATTATAATTTTTAAAAAAAAAGTCAAATAGAGGATGTAGTTTTTGAAGTAAATGTCCAAGTGACAATCAATGTTGATTTCTTTGAATTGTCAAAATTTTCACAGAAGTGTGTTCACAACCTTTTCAAGCAATATCAAAATCATTTAATACCTAAAAAAACCAAACACCAATATTGAATCATAACTTGAATTCAATAAAAGAAGGCAGAAAAAGGAAGCAAATTCCAAAACATCAAGACCACTGCCATATTTTCCCCTTCAAATTACAGTGCAGTGGCCTTTGGAAGCCTGGGGTGGCCCCTCTACCAAGAATAGGAAGTAGGCTGTATCGTAAACAGCCAATTCAGACAGAGAAAGAGAGACTTGAGACTTTTGAGAGTATATCATGTGCTGTTTGATGAATGAGGTGGTGAAAGATGACCAAAGGCATTTTTTAATGGGTCCAATTGTAGAAAAACAAGAGGGAGATTTGGATATTCTTGCTCAGTAGTTAGCAAATGTTTCCCAACACTAAGCTCAGAGGAGAGAAAGAATTATTTGAATTTTTGGGGGCAAAATCAAGGGATAATATTGTGCATAGCACTCCAGTGTTTTCCTCCCACTGCATAACTGTGGAAATCCTTACAGAATTCTGCATACCAATTTCTTCTAATTTATAACAGTAATATAATATTTCTTCTGTCTCTATGCAGTTCGCTCTTTCTTCTTGACTGGCAAACTCCTCCCCCCCCCCTTAAAAAAAAAGTTTACAAAAATTGCCTTCTTGTTACATTGTGCAAAATATACCGTTTGGCAATGTCTACAGGTACATGTACTTATTGTAGACTTTGTACTTTGTAGACTTTGCCAAACGATATATATATTTTGCACAATGTAACAAGAAGACAATTTTTTAAAATATTTATTTTAGGGGGGAGGAGTTTATGTGCAAATTGCAAGTTGATTTTTTTGTGTAAAAAAATAATGCCTTTTGTTTCAGAGACCTTGGATGTATCAGGCATGCAACTGGGAAGTAAAAAAGGAGGAAATTGCAACTTTTACAAGACTTTATACAGTGTTTTTCACTTTCTAATGGTATAAGCGTGAAGTGAAAACAAGGAAATTAGCTGATCCGAGGAAAAGCTGCATGCCCAATGTATAGAAATTTAGTCAAGTTTTTTTAATCATTTTTTAAAATTCAATATTAAACCCACTACTTTATTTCTCCACACATTTCTACAAAAAAAATATTTTGTGGGAATCTGAATTTTGATGGGGAAAAAAAATTAGGAAATTAACAGTAGCACACAGGGTACGATGCAGCAGTTATAGTTGAATTGATTTGGTGGGTGGCCGAATGATTCTCAATCTATATCATATTCATAACTACACATTCAAGTGAAATCATTGGTGCATCTTAGATGTGTCAATGTGGCAGATCTAGGTTGACACCTATTTTCTCGAGTCTCTTGAAAGATTGAGTCTGTCACAGCTCATATAACGTGTGTAAACACCGGCCACATTATTCTCACAAATGCAGCACAGCCTTGGCAAGATTTGCAGTTAAGAAAAAAAATCCTAGCCGGAAATATAGCTGGAAGGGGGACAGGGGTGAACAGAGAGATTGTAGGATACGGTGCGTTTAACGGAGGTGATGACAGAGGGTGGAATTTGAGATTTGGGGGGGGGGGGGGAAACAGTCTTGTAGAAATGTACAAGTGGATTAGAAAAATCTTAAACTGTTAATTTTTTATGAAGGTTTTTGATGTATGTTGTTCTCTTGATTACAATTACATGTTTTTTGGGGGGACATGCTTCATATTTTCTAATTTCTATGAATAATTTCGATACGTATTTACAATATTAAAATTTGTCATGGGAATCTATATATTGCATACCATTTCAGTGAACAGCGCTTGTTAATATTTTAGAGTAATTCTTATCCAATTTGGGCGATTCAAAATGCAGTGCGCCACTAAGTGTTTGCTATGGCGAGTTCATTTTTCCAGTGCATTGTGGGAGATGGTCAACAAATTCACAGCGCAGGACATTTTGAAATTGTTTAGTTTTTCCGGCCATTAGTTTCGTAAGCGTATTATTCGAGTATATGTTTGCCCTGTTCTTTTCTTTTTATCAATATGGTGTTTTTCTGTAAGGCGGCAGAACGCTGTGCCCCCATCTATAACTAACTAAGTTATCTACTGACACTCGTTCAAATGGGTCATGTTTTGTCGACCGTAAACTTGAAAAATGGACTCTCCATGGCAAACTCTTGGTGGCGCACTGCATTGTAAATCGCCCAAACTCTCCGAGTCTTCAACTGGGACGTATTTGTGGATGGCTTCATTGCAACAACATGAACAATGAAAAGGGTTCCAAGATTGGAATAATTTTTATTTAGTCATTTTGATACACTGGCCAATTGTCAACAGCATAATAACATATTTACCATGTCAATACATAACCCATAGTAAATTTAGAGCAAAGAAAACTCCTCTTTTTTCATAGTAGGAAAACATTACCCAAAATTACATCACTTGAAATGCTAAACTTGAAAATTTGAAACTTTGTCTGAATTCTTAGTAATTGGATTCAAATTCATGAATGTATTTAAATAATTATAATTTTTCTACGATAAACATCTTGGGAGGTTATGGTTTTTCAAACCTGGACCACATCAAGGCATTCCTTCACAGTTTGGCAAGCTTAATTCATTCTCTGCATCATTTCATTACAAAGAAAATATTATTGATTCCTAATACTGAAAAATTTAGAAATAGCTTTAGGCTAAAAATCAAAGTAAAATTGAGAGAGAAAAAAACACCAAATTCTAAACAAATATGCAATAAACATCCACATAATTCCCCAAACCACCTACCAAGTATAAATTGTGATCATAAGTTTTTGATATGTCACTGATTAGTGCATTCAATGTGTTTCTGACCAATATTTTGCTCAACAATGACCAACAGAGGGCGCTCTTGAATTAGTTTGTGGAAGTTGTTTTTCTATAAATTTGCTTTAAAAAAATGGTTTCCAGCATGATTTTGGCAAATTTCACAAGCAATCACACTATTACTTTAGTTTTCATTTTAATGTGCCAAAAAGTAAGATTTCCTGCAACCTTTGAACATTTCTAACCTTTTTTTTTATAGTTAACTTGGGACAAATTATCATCCCCTGATACACCACTGCACAAAATGGATGCAACTTTCATGAATGAACACCCAATCTAAAGCTGTTGTATTCATGTACATCCGTATGAAATATGCTAAATGACATCATGCTTAGACCAAAGAATATAAATACTTCTGCTTCCGATTAGATGCCTTTCAAAAATAGGGTCGGTTGGAAGTATGAACGGTAAGACCTTGAAATAAATACGTGACAACGGAATATACATGTACACGGGGAAAAAAAGAAGATCAATATCTGCGAATTAACTCCCAGAAATCTGCTTTCTCCATTTGTTTGGTTGCCATGTCACATTTGACCGATTACATTACGTAATCCATAGACTGTTCCCGGTCCTTCCATCATGATTATGACTATTATTGTTATAGTGCGTGGCGGGAACCAGTCTACCATTGCTGCTTGCATGACGCATGTGCTTTCACCACCGCGAAGGGAACTTGCTGATCGCATCGGTGAAAAAAACAACGGAGTTTTCCTTACAAATAATAGCGATTTTAAGTAAGCAAATGAACAAATATTGATAGCAGAGATGTTATTAGCATTTTTGACATGAAAAGGTTGTTGAGAAGCGCTTTGTACATACAGAAAAGACAACATGATTGCATTTTTCCCTGATTTTTTTTTTAACTTGCCGATAAAACTTTGAAGGTTGGGCCTTAAAAATAAAATCAGTTGGGTAACCGGAAGCAGGAGTCATATTTGTATTGGCCTTGAAAGAACACATGTATGGCTGCCTCATCTTTTTTCCATAGTGATCCATCAATGTGGTTTTTTTTCTGAATCACAATTTTCACTGACGCACAAATAGTAGTGACTCAGGCAGTGAATGTCTCCACCCAGTTGAAAGATGGCATGCATTGAATGCAACACAAATTCCCTAACCACAGTTCACATCGTATGCATGTGTACCCCTCCCCCTCCCCTCCCCCACCCCCTTCCTAACAAGTTAATAGTTAGATGTGTTACCTCAGTTTCGGGAAGAACCTTATAAAGATAATCATCCAGAGGAATATGATACTGACACAGAATAAGGAGCCCCAAAGCCACCAGTTGCATGCCCGCTGGGTGTGCTGCTGCAAGCGTTCACTCTCAACCTTCAACTTGCTGTAGTTACTGTCGGCTAAGTGGATGGTCTCTCCAAGCCTCTGTAGAAAAAAAACGACCGAGGTAAGGCCAAAAAAAAAAATAAGTCGGTCTCTGGTCAGCGCGCGCGTCGATTATAATCATGCGCATCGATCTTTTATTTTCCAAAATGTTCCGCAGTAGCTCGAACAGCGCCCTCTATTTCCGCACCTTCTCAATTTTTTTTTACCAAAGAGCACCAAGGAATGGGAAATTGCACCAATGCAAATGATCGAAAGCACCAAGGCAAATTATGGAGGACACCAATGTACATGAGGACACCAAAAAAGCAAAATAGTACCCCACCTTGTCTGTACAATCCAAGCTTGAAAAAAAAAAAAAAGCCGCGTGGCCGCGTCAATTCCGGAACTTTGGTCTGACCGGAGACCGAATATTTTTTTTGGGGGGGGGCCTAAAACAATTGGTAAACTTTTGCTAGGGTTGTATTTTATTCCAATCAATCACAAGTCTTCCAGTCCCAAGTCAAGTCACAAGGTATTCAAATTAATGACCTGTAATAAAGACATTCCTTTGTCGTCATTTATCCTTGTTACTTGTGGACTGCCATGATAATCTGCGACAGATCTTTTGACTTGTGAAGAGACTTGTGCTTAACTTGTGATCTGTCATGAGACTAACTTTTGCTGCCCCAGGAACTTTCCTGGAGGCCAGGGGTCAATTCACAGATAGTCATAGAGCTATATTAAATGACTAGAGTGCTAGTTCCTCATTTCCCCATGGAGATCCTTTGAAGCTGTCCTGAGCGCAGGCATTTTGAATTCATGTGTGTAGAACATACTGAAATAAGATAAAATGAAGTTCAAATAATGTCCTCTAAATGCAATGCACAAATAAAACATATGCGAACAATGTAAGCGTATTTTCCATGAGTATGACGACAAAAATCATCTGCAATGCATTATTTGTGTTTTTTTGAAATGTTCATATACTGGTTGTGCGTTGCAGTTTTGGGCGTATCGGCTTCGATAACACACCGGTGCAGAATAAAAACCAAGATATGCAAATAGCCATACTAAATCTGTACTACATTTCGAGTGTTTCATAGGTTTGTCCACAAAAATGGATGCGCCCAGCGGGCCTCACTTTGAACAGCGAATCAGCACTCTTGTAATTTAATGTAGCTCTATGCAGATAGCACAGAAATGTTTGGATTAGTAACAACTGCAGGAAAAATTGATGATCCAAACTCAGATGAAAACTAGTCAAGAACAAAGAGAAGAATAGCTGCATTTGTTTGTTTCACAAAAATACTATTTGCCCTAACCCTCAAAAGTTCATTTGAATTATGTAGAATCTTGTTGAATTGAGCATTTTATAACCCTAATCAATGATTAGGGTTATAAAAGAACCTTACATTCAGTGGAGTGATGCCAACTCGAGCAGTCGGACTCGAACCCACAACCTCCTGCTTACTAGTGTAAATGTCTTAACAAATTGACTCCAAGCTTGCTAGGGTTTGCTGGTTCAAATCTGACATCACAGTATGAACAACTATCAATGATAGAACATCGCTCGAGTTTAGATCCTTCACCGACATTATTTTCTATGCAACACAGACATACCCTATTATCATCCTGGATGATGTTGCTAGCCACTACGGTGTTATGTTTGAGACTCCTTGTCAGTGACAGCATCTCCTCGGCCAGTTTCTCCTGCATGTTGTGATGATGCTGCAACACCGCATCCAAGTCATCTGACGATGCCTTGTCGTCAAGATCATGTAATCTGGGTAGACGGAAAACAATCAAGATGTTCTTAACCCATTTAGCACCTGACCTATATTGTATTGTATTACATTGTATTACATTGTATTACATTGTATTACATTGTATTCATTCCCTGATGAATCCATAAACCCATACAGTGCCGAGGCAGTTTGCAATAGTACTGGGACCAATGGGTAAAAGACCACAGCCAAAGTACGGAATATATTTGCTCACCAAAAGAGGTTACCAGCCCAACTGTCAGGTAATTAAAAAAGTATTTCATGGCTTTGAGGTGGATACAAGAATATATTGCATGAGGTAAAACAATATTGCACAAGTCGAAGACAAGTGCAATATTGTCCTAGCGAGGGCAATATTTTCTTGTATTCCCCGAACAAAAAGCCATCCAATATTATTATTATTATTTATATCAGACTGACTTGATCCGAAATAAATAAATTTCATGTCGCTGTCTTGTAAAAATCGCCAAACGCTTCCTCAGTTCTTTAACGTTAACTTCAACAAAATACCCGCTAGCGAAAGCTTTTCCGGCGTCTCAAAATCCGTCAGTATCTTCTTCTCGGGCAGATATACTCACAGAATATTTACTAGTGTCACCTTGGTTGCTTCCAAGTATCTTTGGCACCTGTATTCTTTAACATTTCTTCAAATTCTTCTCAGAAACCGAAGTGAATCTAGCGCCGCTCGAAGCAGCCAATTTCGTTGATCAAACTTACTAACGAATGCGTGTGCGCGCACGACCACTACAGCTCTGTTCCCTGGTTAACAACCGTGAGTATTCTATGCTCTTGATTGAATGGGAACCGGCCAAATTTGTTAAAATGCTCGGATGACAATATCAAAAATAATATTGTCCTCATCCTGGTAGTTTTACTGACATAATGTTGAAGTCATTCAGGTACTTTTCACGAAAGCATACAATACACTGATTTATTTTTACCACTGGAAGCCTGATATAAAACCATAATATTTAATGCCTCTGAATGGTTCTCAGTTCATTCTTGCTTAACATCTTAGTTTACTTGTCTTAGCAGCTCCAATAAAATTGCCAATTTTACAGATTATTTATTCATTTTGTTTACATAATAAAATTAACATATGTTCATTGAAAACTCTTTGGAGTTTGCTTCCCAAGCTGAATGCCATTCCCAAAAGGTTTTAACAGTAAGGCAAAAAAAAAAAAAAAATAATTGGTCTCTGGTCAAACCGAAGTTCCGGAATTGATGCGGCGACGCATTTTTGTTGTTGTTGGTTTTTTTTTTTCAAGCTTGAATTGTACAGACAAGGTGGGTACTATTTTGCTTTTTTGTGTCCTCATTATACATTGGTGTCCTCCATAATTTGCCTTGGTGCCCTTTATCATTCGCCTTGGTGCAATTTCCCCTTTCCTTGGTGCTCCTTGGTACAACAATTTGAGGAGGTGCGGCAATAGAGGGCGCTGTTGTAGCTTCCGTGTTAATTTGAAGAAAAAAAAAGGATTGACGCGCATGATTAAAATCGACGCATGCGCTGACCAGAGACCGAGGTATTTTTCTGTGTCTGGCCTAATAACTTGAAAAGGATGTCAGACTGTACCTTCTGTGTCTCAATCCATTCTCTTGTAAATCGTCAGTCTAGACAAAGATAAGAAAATAAAATAAAATATTTGAAACATAAATAATCATATATTTGATTTTGCAGGATTGATAAACGTGAACTATGTAAACGTTCTATCTCTTAAGTGGAAAAACAAACCCAATCTGCATTCCACAAAACCGAGGGCTCCTTCAGAAAGAAATATTTCCATCACAAACGTTCACAGGAAGTCCGAGTCCTAAACTTAAGTCCTTGTATTCCACCGTGGTACATTTTATTTACTCCTTGGAGTGAACTCATAACCCACAGTGCTGGGGTGGTTTGGGGCAGTGCAAGGAGTAACAGGCTGGGCACTCAGGGACAGTACAGAAACAGATGGGTTAAACTGTCAACTCTCCATACCCCTAAAAGCTCTCGCCTCATCTCGTTCACATATCTGGACGTGGCCTGCAGATGGAGGTCTTTGGTAGACGTCGGCAGAACCTTGGCGTGTGACTTGGGCTCGGATGAGACGCTGGTTGTGGAGTGGGCCGGAGCTAGGAGCTGATTGGCCATGGCCTTGTCGCTCGCCGAGGTCTGTGGGAAAGGAATGTATGAAGGACTACATTTCCTGAAGAAAAACATGTGGAGCTATGATCTTGCAAACTTGCAGAGACCCTGAATAATTTTGTTTTACTTCCTCCTTGATTCTGCACACATGTATTCCCTTTTTCCCTCTTATTTGGTTCACAAGTGTTTAACGAAATTTAACCAGCTTTGAATCGATATTGTTAAGGGGCAGGAGATGCGTGTCCAGTAAACTCTGCAAATGATTATCAACTTTTGTTCCAATCTTGTTTTCTCTTTAAAAAAATGCTAATTGATAAGTTCGTAATGAAGGAAATTATCAAACACAATTTTAGTGCTGAAATATTAAGAAATTTACCAGTTTCTCTGTTTGGATGAGGCCCTTTAAAAACTCAATCTTCTTGGTATATTCGGTAAGTGCTTCTTGGCTGGGCAAGCTGAAATACACAAAAAAAACACCAAGTTGTGGGAAAAAAGGTCAATGTATGTTGTTGTGTAAGGTCTTAGTTATAATTGTTTTGAAAAAATAGCTCATTTTGTTTAGTTTTCTTGAAAAAAAGAAGGAAACTCACCTTGTTGATCTTTTGAGCTCAGCAAGTTTTTCTTGAAGTGCACCAACAAACTTCAATGAAAAAAAGTCAAATTCAGAAAGATTCCAACAGTTGGCAGCACAAAAGTGAGCTATTTAGTTGATCATAGGGTAGCCCCATATTTGTGTCTCCAATACTTGACTTCCTCCATATTTGAAGAGCCACACAGTGATGTGTGCTGAATTTCCTGAATACTTGTTTCCGGAGTTTGAAAGGTAGACTGGTTTTTCACTTTGATATTCACTATGCAACCTAAAAAATTGTTAGTATTAGAAACCAGGAAAAAGATTAGATTCTACACCTTTAGATGTCTAGTTATCCTGTTATTGCAGGGGAAATGTTGAGAGTTTGTCATAAATGACTTCAGATTTTTCTCAAGGTCATGGGTTATACACCCTTGACCTTTTTGGTTTTCCCTGATTTTTAACCATGTTAATATCTTCCATAGCAAACATCGAGTGAAAAAAACCAGTCTAGATTTCAACTTTAGAAAACAATAAGTAATAGTAGCATGCGTCATTGTGTGGCTCACAATGCAAAGGAAGTACGGTATTTGAGACACATTTATGGGGCTTATCCAGAGATAATTAGGTGTTGGGCCTTGAGCTTTCAACGATGTGAGTGTCTGCCTAGGCAGTACTGTACAAACATTTTACAGGTGACGTCATCAAATGTTAGAGCGCCCTCTGGCGGCATGTTGAAAAAGTCAAACATGGATTTAAACATGCATTTTGAGTTGATGTGTGTGGCAAAGTTTGAGATTATCCATGGCCCAACACCATGTGGTTGTTCCTACAACCTCTAGTTCAATTTGAAATCCAATAGGGTCTATCTCTCACTACTTCACATCTAGTCTCTACACTACTTAAGTACTCTGTTTGACCTGAGGTGACAGGCCATCTCAATTAAGACTTGACAACCTCCAACCTCCGACCATTGACCTCTAGCCTCTCACCTTCTCCAATCGCCAGTCTCCGTGGTCCTGCTCTCCAGCCATCGTCTCACATCTCGTCAACAATCTCTGCAGGTTGATCTCAAGCTTGGATGCCATGGCCATCCCATCAAGCATCGCACCCAAAACGTTCCCTTTGGTCCCCGATCAATACCTTGGCTACAGGAAAACAAAACAAAACAAGAAAAGTAGTGTTAAAAAACACAAATTCCCCGCAACCATGCCTATTTCCATGACATAACACCACTCTATTAGCATCAACTTACCTGGGTCACATGGAACGTTCATTGACATCGTTACTGTTTTCTTTAGATTATATGTGTAATGTATTGATGCCTATGATCCCATAATGAATTTTTTTTTGGTTGCTTTTCTGTTGGGAAGTCATTGTATGTGATTTAAGCAAACTGACTGGATATTTTCAGTCAGTTTAAACTGAACGGAACTAGGGCAGCTTTTATGGGCGGAAACGAGTTCAAGCTAGTTCCCAACTCCCTTTTACCGTTCGAAATGCACTTGTGTTTACAAACGAGATCCAGTCTACTCATTATCATAATTGATGCATCGCGCTCGGTAACGGAATCGCACTCGGGATACGGGGACCATCGAATGTACGCTGGGCATGAAGACCACATCACGTCGTTCAAACATTACCACGAGTCGGAAATTTAACATGTTCTCGATCGCGAGGGGAGCTCTCAGAATTGAACGGGAAATTTTACTTTTCATCCGGATCGTAAGTAAACTTCAGTACAACCGTCTTAATAATCGATGTCTATTTGTACCTCAGGTGGCCTATCTAGTAATTTGGAGGCCGTTTTGAGGGTGAAATCTGACATGTCTGATGTTTTTGTTGGGCAATGTTGGGTTTTTGGATCAATGACAGAATTGTGTTGCTCGGCATATAACAATTAGCTTGGACCCCACTATCGCCACACCATGTCCGAATGTTAAAAAGGCGATAAGTTGGGTCCAAGTTACTCGGACTAGTGAGTACTCAACATGCATACGAAATTATGTATGGCGGATCGATTTCACCAGGTTCGAAATTACACAACAGCGTGGCGTTGGGTAATCCTTACTTTTAGGACCCCTTTCCTATATAAGGTTAAAAGACTCACCAAAACAGCTGATTAAATGACACTCAAAAGTGACATTCTGATATTTATTGACACATTTGAACATTTGGCAATGACACCTCTTGAATATCAGCAGGTTTGATTTTGTAGAAAGAGGGCAGGGTTTTGATTTATGAGGGGTTAAAGACGACGATGACAAACAGAAAATAAATGTAAAAAGCAAGATGGCGAACAGCAAAAAAGGTAGGAAAGTCACATTTTCTTTGAAAGTGCTTTCAAAATTATAACTAACATGAGTTTGTCTGAAGAAAAAAAGACTTCTTTAGCCTGCAAAAGTCACTTTGGTACCGGACAGTCATCTGCAAAAGTCAGTTTTAAACAGAACTCGTACAAAATAGAGGTGTCCTAAAAGTAAGGATTACCTGGCGTTGTATACAACGCCACGTTCACGGGTCTAGGCCGGCTAGCTGCAGCTGTTTCTAGTTTCAGTGACAGTCTAGTCTGTCACTGTCAGTGTTTGTGTTTCATCATTATCCCATTATGTGAAACACGCCATCACTACTTAGTTTATGTGACACATATTGAGTTATCATTTGTTAATATAATGAAAAACATGTTGAAAAGGTTAAACTTAAACAGAAATAATTCAATAGGATTCTTCTTTACCTTCGTTCTTCTTAAAAACAACAACAGTTTCTGCGGCGTTTGATCGATCGATGATGACCTTTCAGGTAGCATAAAATGGCACGACAGTAGAGCGCGTCATGAATATGCATGACTATGACGTCACTAGAAGCTCATGAGTAATATATCACGCACGGTACTGATAGATATACATGTACATGTAGATGCACACTGTATGTGCTGCATGCATCCCACCGATGATATCACATTTAACAAGTTCTCTTTCTACTGTCGCGCCGCCACCCTCTAGTGTCGTCCCACTTACCAATGATATCACATTTAACAAGTCCTCTTTCTACTGTCGCGCCGCCACCCTCTACTGTTGCCCCACTTACCGATGACCATCAAGTGGGACGACACTAGAGGTGGTGGCGCGACAGTAGAAAGAGAACTTGTTAAATGTGATATCATTGGTAAGTGGGACGACACTAGAGGGTGGTGGCGCGACAGTAGAAAGAGGACTTGTTAAATGTGATATCATCGGTGGGATGCAGCACATACAGTGTGCATCTACATGTACATGTATATCTATCAGTACCGTGCGTGATATATTACACATGAGCTTCTAGTGACGTCATATCATGCATATTCATCACGCGCTCTACTGTCGTGCCATTTTATGCTACCCAACTTTTCATGAGTAAATGCAATTACACCGATTGAGGGCGCTGCACGAAGTTTCAACAAACTTGAACCAGTCCAGCAGCCATCATATAATTACTTCTGAGTCTTTTATTTTCTAAATGCCCTCTGAACCCCCAAGAAACATTTTTCTCGGTGTAAGCAGCACCGATTACCAATGCTACTCCACTGAATGCTGAGAGCGGTTCATCTTAATTATTTCGTTTGGCTGAAACTCGCCTGATTTTTAGAAAAATATATCAATCAACGACTGAAGTAAGTCTAAACACATAAACATGGTAAAGTTGTGTTGCGCATGTGGATTTACGAAATGATCATTAGGCAATGATGCACAGCAAAAAAAAAACGTCTGACATCATCAATTTTGAGAAATTCCAGGTGTCTCTTATGAGGCAGGAATAAGTAAGATAGTCTGTTCCAAGTGAATGAACTGTGGGTAAATAGGTTTGCGACAAAATTTGACATCGAGCAGATCGTTGCACATGCATCATGTGCATGGTGCCCAGTTTCCGGACCAAATAGAAATAATACTTAGTGTTAGAGAGGCGTGGCCACCTGGGGGGGGGGGGGGGGGGGTATATGACACCAATACCCCTAGGGGTTGGTATGGTTTGGCTAGCATTAAACCAACAATTTGGAGGAGATTTCTCTATTTCTTGTGACAATCAGAATCAGATTTCTAAAACTTGCTGCATTTTTCTTCATTTATTTTAAAAACAAATTCCTCATGAAAACATTGTTTCACACTCGCACAGTCACAGTGAACTGTTCTTTGTTGGACAAAGGGCCCCTTATCCAAGAGTTTGAATATTAACATCTTTCCTGAAGTAATTATTTTTATATATCTTTCGTTTCAGGTTGCACTAGTGATCTTCCATCAGAGATGTTAAGTGACGTTGCGTACATTTTGGACTGTCATGACTGTGTATCTCATACTTTTGCATTATTTTCTGCCTTCCCCCTTTAACCAAAATGTTGGCTACCAGTCTCCGTGTACCTGTATTTCGATTCTGTGTGAAAGACGTGACACGCTGTCTTCACAGTCATAAGCGTATACTGAAAGCTATTCATGGCTCTCTCCTTGGAATCAGAACAGTTTCCAGGTGTACGGCAAGTTCTTGCACAATCCCAGTAGGTTCTGGCCGAGAATTTGGCATGTTGGAGAAATACACCCAGTTGAGGTTCAGAGTTCTGTGCAGCGATGCCAATGCAACAGTGAAAGAACCTAGGGGAAGGAAGGTGACAGTTCCCAATGTAGAAACCAAACAATACCTGACTTCGATTGGCCTGGACTGTGACATCATCCAGGAGGGCCAACCCATGGTGCTTCTAGAAGATGTGACAAAGGTTCGAAACCACGTGACATTCCTGCAGAATCTTAATTTGAGCGATGAGGAGGTCGTGGCTATACTTAAGAAGACACCAGAGCTGTTGAAAGTGAACACTGCCAGTATCCAAGAGCACATCAGATACTTGCAAGACTTGGAGTTGGAGGGACTTCTCATACTGAACATCATGCAGCGGGTCCCGCGATTCTTCACCTCTCCTTTGTCGCGGATAGAGTCCAACGTGGAGTACATTCAGAGCTTGAGTCTGACCAACAAGAACATGCGAATCCTGTTGAAGTACTTCCCCAGCTTGTTTTACCGGCGTAAGAACGGGGTCCAGTATGCCGGGGAGTGCCTGCAGCGGATCCTGTTGGAGCATGACCCCAACTGTAACCCTCAGGCATCCCTGAAGTACATGATTCGAACCGATCCGCTCTTGTTCGGTCGCACCGTTGGCGAGATCGAACACCGGGTCACGCATCTTATCAGTCTGGGCTTCGATGGCATATCCCTGGCCAAGATAATCCGTTTCTGCCCGAGCGTGCTGAGAATCGGCACGGAATTCATCACAGAACGTCTCCTTCTGGTGCAGAAGTGCCTGTCTCTCACTCGTGAACAATCCCTTGACATCGTCATGCGCTTGCCGAAGATTCTGCATGCTTCGGACCACACCCTAGAGACTAAAGTTGACTATCTCTTCAAGAGAGGCTACACGGCGGCCGATATATTTCGCAACCCCAGGGTTTTCAACACCGGTCTTGAGCGGATGGCCAGTCGACTGGACAAGTTGGCAGAGTTGAAGTTCCGGCCCAAGAGTCTGAGTTTCATGCAGAGGACAGACGAGTGGTTCGAGAATTACCTTCAGGAGATCAAGCACAGACAGGAGGAAATGGTGGAGAAATCAAAACAGAGCAGTGAATGATGCCAGGAAATTAAATCTTGTTTTGATTATATTGTATATTACAAATAAAAATGTTGGATAACAATACTACCTTTACTTTTATGTATATATTTTCTTAACAGATTTGTACACTTACATCTTGTCCTATAATGTAAGCATGTTTAGTTTAAAAGTTCACGTTTAAAACTATGAGTAAACTTTTTAGTAGAATTCACATGTAAGGCTGCTCATTATACTAACGTTTATCATGCTGAACCACCATTTTAGTCATGTTCGCTGTATCCAATAACAGTACTGAATGATGTTTTTGTGCAAAAAGGAACCAGACTATTTTTCCTTCCAGCCTCGCTTTGGTTACATTGATCTGAATGGGAAAAAAAATCCAATGGCTGCAACATGATAATGGTCTATTACAGGTCGAGTAAAGTTAGTTTATTCATACTCGAGTAATTTTGAATCCTTGATGCTGATTGGCTGATCCATAGTAATATAGCAGCATATCTCATTTTGCACAAGTCTCACTCGCTTTTATTCTACATGCATTCGACTGCTGCACATGCTTGAAAACCATGAATGGGGGGGGGGGGGGGGGGGAAGGGAGGTCCATTGCAGTGTGACTTTGTTTAGAGATTCCCAGTTGTGATCAAAAGCCCCTCCCCCCCCCCAAAAAAGAAGCAAATAATAATAGTGACAAGAAAAAGAATTCAGTTCAACTCGCATTGGAAGGTTTTATTATCTGCATTTATTAATCAAGAAATGTATGTTGCTTTATATTTCTTTACTCTAATCACCATTAAAACAAACTGTTTTACAATTAATACAACTTATCAAACTGGCAGAAGAAATAAAATTACAGGAAGAATAAAAAATCAACATATTAAACCAAGGTAGTTTAATCTGTCAGTATCAAAAAGGACGGACTCACAAGTTGAAACTGGAATAAACCACAGTGAACTTGAACTTTTTTTAAATCTTGTTTTCACCTTTCATGTTAAAGTGTTTTTATATATTTACATATTGTGGACGGATAAAATATTTTAATATACACCTTACCATACAATTTATTGTACTGGAATGGGATGGAATTTTTTTTCTCAATTTTTGTGATAGTATACAGTTCAATAATAAATGCTTATTAAATACAATGCAACTGGCGGAAAACAATGTACACAAATTTACAAATTACTTTGTAAAAAATGGAACTGGATTGAATTCAGAAAGTTTGCATTCAATATCAAGCGTTAAATTTAGTTGACAATACATATGAGCAAAAATACATATATGTGAAAATCAAAGAACATAGGAGAAACAACTTTTACAATGGGTAATTTCACTTAATTCCACTTCAAAGTGTCATGTTAAGCCCCTGTATATCCAATATGTTTCTTCGAAAGGTTCAATAAAACCCTCAACAGTTTTCCATTAGATGAAATGACGAATTCTTAACAATTATGTACATTGTACAATGCATATTGATGATCAGCATTTTTGAGATATAGCGGACAAAACAGGAGAGCGCTTTTTTGTATAGAAATAGAAATACACAAACCAAACAGTACTATCTGTGTCCACTGTATCTCAAAAACGCGAATTAGATTCAAAACATATGCACGTACTTCATATACATATGTACCAACAAGTGGGCAGGGTGACGGTCTAAAAAGCACTTTGCAACCAGATTATTTGAATAATACATTTGTACAAAGAGGACACAAAGTACCACAAGGCTTATTTTGGAAGAATCTTGGCAGCCCTGCTTGATATATACCATGGAAAGTCTTTGGTCAACCTATTACTGGGCAGTTTTGAATCCTCTCTCTCTCAGTTGTCCTTGTTGGATGGTTCACGTACCAGAGCCAGCAGTTTGTCCATCTTAGCTATCTCCTGCTCCGGTCCTCGCTGCAACTCCTGTCCCTTCTTGTCCTGTTGGGTTTCAAATAAGTACTCAGTATGAGAATCTTTTTTTAAGAAATAAAATGCTACAAACTGTTTACCAACTGGACTGACCCCAAATATACACAACTGGCAATTCCACGGTAACTTACATTAAAGTTCGTCCGCCCATCTTTGGTACAAGTTAATATATACAAGAAACATAGATAGTCCCAAAAGTGACCGTCATCGAACAAAAAAATCTTTTCGCATATAATATGAACCTTTCTCTCTGCCTTATAAAAACAAAACTTGCAACAGCACTTGCATTTTGCATGTCAAAACAAGGTGCCAAGATGACTACCTAAACTCTCACTGCCATTCCAAATCACTGAAATGAAAGGTCTTGTGCCCATTAAATTAATACATTTGAAGTTTCTGATGCTTGCAGTTTTGAGGATTTCATAAATTTTCCAATTTTTTGGGCCATTTCCACTTTCTCATGGAACTGCCCACGTTGTAAAAAGTTGGGTCTGACTTTTTGTTTATCGGACCCTTTTTTTTTTTTTTTTTTTTTTTTTATTATAAATGTGACGTATTTATTAAACAAATTTTCATGTGTGCAATGGTGGATGACGTGAATGACGTGCTCATTATAAAGAATAGTCCTTCATATGATACTTTTCCAACTTAACTGTTTCACAAAATTTTGTAAGTAACGTGCACGACTGTTGCAAACCTGTGGGTGCATGTGAACAACTTGTCACCATTCTGTAGTGAATATGACAAATGTGGCGCGTATCTGGCAATATTTGCGGATACGTGCATTGCAAATATATAGTGTGTTTATCGGGCAAATTAAGGGTGTAGTTACAAGTGATTTATTTTGTAAGAGTGATGTGATGATGCGTCCTACTCCAAATTGTGTATTCCCAAACAGTGTTGCCTCAAAGGGGTGTGGATTTTTTATACAGCTGTGTGCTGGTGGGGTTACTGTTGCGACATCATATCTGGATGGTGATTTTCCATAATATCTGTGCGGAGGTGCACCACCATATCCCTATGGGGTGTACCAATTAATCTGTGAGGGGGTGCACCATTGTGTTTCTGTATGTGAGCGGAGTACCTGTTGATGCATCGCCATCTGCATGTCCAACTTTTTCATGACCTATTGTCCATCGACAATATTCACAGTTTGTGGAGAAAAAGCAATGCAACGTTAATAGATGCCATGGCTATGCGGTTTGATCCATTCTGTAAATTAAGTGTGCTTACTGGGCAGTAGAGGTACGGATAAATAAACACATTTTTCAGTATTTTGGGTATTTTGGGGGTAGTTTGCTTGGCAGTTACAGCCTGCTTCATGAATCATGTCCTTGATATTACTGGAAGAAATGTAGATGAAGCTATATCTTTAATGTATTACAAATGTTGATGGCTGAAGAGGGAACATAGTATTACGCTGCACGTGGGATACCAACAAATCTTACCTTTGGAACTTTCCTTAGGTTTGGTGACAATTTCAGACTGGTTACGTAGCCCCTGAAAGTAAGAGTAATAACATGATTACTAAACCAGCATATTGAGGTAACACTCACAAAAACAGAAATCACTACTCGTGACCTAGTCAGTTTGATGAAAATAGGACTGGGATCTTGGAAAGTGGTGAAGGACTGGGAAGTTCCTGGGCTTCTGAGTCCATCTATGGACTCCATATGGGCTTCGTGCACCAACAAAAGAGGACGCTTTTTTACCACTTTTGAGAGCCCCGTTGACAGGACACACAGCATGTACGTACTGTACTGTACTGGTTCGAGCGCCAAATACGCACGACTTCCTGAATATGCCAAAGCTATTAGCCACAGCGTCTTTGTGTGAACGTCAGGCATTGACGGCGCGAATATGTTCAAATTTATCTTGTGATGGGCTCCCAGACTAATCCCCGCCCCTAACAACTTTGGATTTTTTGAAATACGCAGTGGATGGGCCGGAAACCAGTCTAGGTCACCCCTAGGTACTTGTACACGGAGCCCATAGCAACAGTACATGGCACTGTGTTGCCCACTTACAAGAGTCACTAGTGTAGGTCCCATTGCATGTTAACACCAGTCTGTGCACACATGCACAGAGTGCACATTTTCAAAAACCTGCAGCATCTACGTGTTGGTGCTGTGCCCAGAGCAGCGACCGCATTCAAATGTCTTTCATACCTAAATTTGTCTCCATTGAGGGATTATTTATGCAAAATGTCCGTAACATGAATACAATTGATTTCTTATTCACATACCTGTCATCACCGACTAGGACGATGGGATGGTTGGGGTTGAAGGTGATATGCGTCAGCTTGGTCTTTTTCTTCTGCACGACGGCCTGCTCACAGATTGGCTCGTATTTATTGATGCTCAGGTCAAACACGTGCACCTGTGGAAAGAAAACAAAAATTCACCATTTGAATGTCACATTGAGGCATTGAATAGTTAGAGAATTTTTGTTGAATCGTAGCGATTTTTGTTTAATTTTTGAATTGTACCTTTCCATCCGCTGTGACTGCTGCAAAGATGGTTGAGGAGTATGGGGCCCAGGCTACATCACCCACGGAGCTTCCCAGGTCAAAGGTGAACATGGCTCCATTCCTACAAATGGGTTAAAAAGAAATGGCAAACAAAAGTCATACAAAGGTTTCCACACAGCTCTAAATCATCATTGTTACATCCAGTGGACACCCCCAAAAAATAGGCCAAAAATTGAAGAGAAAGATAATTTTGCTATAGTGTTTATGCTGAAGCAATCTTCATTGTGCCTTATCAGCTACTTATCATTTTACTGCATGGACTAGCATTGATTCTATGTTTGACAGGTTATGCGTATTATCAAATGGTTTAATTTGGATAGATATAGCCATAATGATCACACAAATGTTCTCCAGATATTGGAAACATTTCTCTGCTTGTCAAGGCATCAAACTACAGTCAAGTTGCTGACTGAAACCTAACATTGCCTATCCAGCCAAGAACTGATTCACATTTTATGAGTCGATTCTGATAAATTTGTATAAAATTATGAAACATCAATTGAGATTCTGAGAAAAAAATCTACAAGTATAAACAGCAAAATAAAAAAAACACAGTAGGACTGACTTGTAGGTGTGGTCCCAGATCTTGACGGTCCAGTCAGCACTGCAAGAGATGAAGATCTTAGGATGGTAGTAGTTCCAGTGAACCTTGTAGACGGCCATGTGGTGGGCGTCAAACGTGTCCAGGAACTGGCTGGAGTAGGCCTTGGAGCACTTGTGGATCTTCCCCTCCTCGGTACCCACTAGGAAGAGGTAGTCTGTCTGCTTGTGGAAGTCGAAGCATGTGCCGCAGCCTGGAAAGAAGAGTTTGTTATGAGAGTTGTAATTGAGCTAGACAAAAGTCATCTCAAGTCGTCAAAAATTACAAGTAATCATAAGTAATCACAAGTAATAAGCCATTGATGTCATCACAAGCCACTGAAGTCATCACAAGTCATTCACAAGTCTTCAATAAGCCAGTTCATTATTCCAAAATAGTCTGGTGCACAGCAAGATTCGACAATTTTTTTGGGGGGGGGGGGATAACCGCGGCAGATAAATGTACATAATGCTATGGGGGACGTGGCAACCAAATCTGCAAGCCAGTTTGTTATTCCAAAATAGTCTGGTGCACAGCAAGATTCAACAATTTTTTTTTGGGGGGGGGGGGGGGGGATAACCGCGGCAGATAAATGTACATAAGGCTATGGGGGAACGTGGTAACCAAATCTGCATTCTGTGCAATTTTCGTGCAATCGAAAAGCGATGGAACTTTCGTTAGCACAAAAGTATTGACACAAGATACCTATGAACACTTCGCTGTCCAAAGTTTTTTTTGCAAAATGTTATACTTCAGAACACGATTATTTCTTCATTTTTGCTGGTACCCCGCTATGCTTTTGCACACATACGATCAGCAAATCTTGATGTGCACATGCACAGTTGGAACACCGAACTCGCCTATTATTTTGTCAAGTCACAAGCTATCAAGGCATTGTTACAAAGGCATTATTTTTGTCACTCTTCCTTCCCATGTTACTTGTGATTTGATTTGTGATTGACTTGATTGGCTCCAATGAGACTAGAACCCATGATCTCCTGCATACTGACGCAGATGTCGAGACCACATGACCACTGAGCCTACTGAAGACTGTCCGTGGCATATACATTCTTTGCACAACTATCTTGAATTGTGCAGTCTCAACTCAAAAGAACAACATCCACAATTTGAGGGGAAAAAACATGAAACAGTGATGAGGAGGGATAATTCAAACTTTGAGGGACTTTGTTTGAGATTTGCCGATGACCAACTTACCCAGTGGTGTGAGCTGAGTTCCCTCAGGGCCTTCCTGGGGAGCTTCGTCTAGTTTCAGTTGGATCACATCCGTGTACGTTAGCTCATTCTTTAAAGACAAGAAGTTTAGAATGATAAGGAGAGTGTGACTTGTGGTCTGCAAACAGATGGCCAGGGCTTCAAATCCAGCTGCTGGCTATATGTTGTGTCCTTGGGCAAGCCACTTTGCCCCTATTTATCTCTCTCCATACGGAAGTAAGAGCGGTTACACTCAGTCGTCGGGAAGTAACATGATGGACTGGCATACCAGCCAGCGGGAATAGAAATATTCAAAGTTGTTCCATGCCATGGATACTGGATGTAAACCTGGGCCTGATTTGCTGTTATGGCTCAAGACGGACTTTTTGTTAAATTATTTACAGGAAAAGAATATGATATGGAAACAAAATTTAAAATGCAGTTATTATTTAAAACTTGAAATGTCATTAAGGATTTATCTGCAAACCTTGACTAGGGTCCAAGCCACCACGCGGCCATCGGATGACACAGAGAAGAAGTTGAGGTTGTTGTCCAGATCGTCCTTCTGCCAAGCCACCTATAAGCCATGTGAAAGAGAAACAAAACAATTTGCAAAATGAAATCCTTACAGACTCTGCAAAAGAACATCAGATGACACTATGTGCATTGTATGTGCATTGTGATTGCCAATTTATGACAGTGCACAAGAATGTAGCATCTTTATGTGAAAGGAACGCACTTCAGGCACATCACAGAATGATGCTTAAGTTTCCTCAATTGTAATGCATTACATTTTATGAATGAAGCCTAGTCAGATTTGAGGAGGTCATTTATCTTAAAGTCTGTCCGAATGTCGTGAAGCCATAAGCTTACAAAAGCAAACCCAGAGAAAAATTTTGTTCCGAGCAAAAGTCACAAGTTTTTCTGTTTAAATTATAAACATTGAGGAATAGATCCTTCGGCTAGTTTGCCGACCTACCTGCCAGACCGGATCTGTGTGCTTGCCCGTCTTAGCAGTGCTCTGATATATGGGTTTATTATCCTTGTTTGTCACATTGTACACGCCCACTGACCCGTCGTAGAACCCAACCGCTACGAGGTATGGGTGCTCAGGGTGGACGTCCACGCACATGACCCCGCTGGTGGTTGGGTAGACGTACTCTGGGTAGGAGGGGTTCTTCATGGTGTAACACAGGAGCATGCCTCGGGACTGCTTCATAAAGTCATCTGTGGGTTTTTTAGATGCAAAAAAAAAGGTATTTGACCCACATATTCGACTCTCCTTAATACAAACCCTGTTACCAAAAAAAAACATAAAACACAATGAGTTGAACCTGTGCTCTAATTCAACATGGATATAACAAACAGTTGAGTTTGTACATGTATAAATAGGAGTCAACTGTATATATTTAATACGTCTTTAATAAATTGTTCATGCAGTAAACTCTTTACAATGGTTCAAATACAATGGTTCAAACGGCACCTACTAGAGAGGGCAAACTAATACACTGCTTGAACATTATAATGCATTGTTTTATTCTGTCTAATTATTATGAGGCAATTATTTCCTCACTCTGTAGATATCTCTATGCTGATCTTTGCATGGCCACTGATTAAACAGTTAAATATTAAGTTTAATTTTGTCGATTATATGAATATCTAAAGTAATACTTATTTGAAAAAAAACTGGAACTTTTTATTATACGTTATCAATTTATGCAAGGGGTACTGAATAATTGACTTGTATATGTGCTATTTAATTTCTAATCTCTCTATACCACAAATATTATATTTAAAAAAATGAATAAGTTGGCTAAATTGGTACTGGGTACTCACAGGAACCGTGGGTGACAATAAACAGATCCCTGTATTTGGGGTTCCAGCACAGTGACGTGACGGCCAGTCGCTTCGCCTTATCATAGCTGAACTTCCAGAGTGGCAGCAAGGTACCCTCCGAGTCCCGGTACTCATCAGATACATCCTCCCAGTACTTGAAATCTGTACAAGAGTAAAGCAGTTACCAGTTAACCAAAAATAATGAAGATATACTTGTTAAACTTTCAATGCTGGAGTAATTTTGGAAAAAATGAAGAAACAAGGATTTCTGTAAAAGTTGCGTTCCCCGTGCTATTTTTTTGGTTTCATCCCCAAAAATGGATTCTAAATTGTTCAAACTTCTTCATTGCTATTTTTCTAGATTGTTATTCACTTTTGAATGAGAAAGCAATGAAATGAGCTTTATATTATTATGTCAAGAGATGAACATTTGTAGTGTGTAAATAATTGACATTGGTCTGAAGGAAGGGGGTTGGTTTGCTACCCGAACCATGCCCCCATCCAACCTTGCTACTAGGTATTACCCAATGGGTCCTTACTCTGGAGTATTATGAGTATCTCTATAATTTATGAACCCGAAAGTAGCCCCCAAAAAATGAAAAATAAATCAATACACAATGAAGCTAGAAACTTACCCTGTGAGACATCATCGAATGTGTTTTGGTTGACCATGCGCTCAACGATCTTAGCGGCGTGGCTGATGCGGGAGACATCGTCCGTCTGTGTCTCCATGGCCGTCAGCTTCTTCTTAACGGTTCCCTCTTCCTTCTTGCTGGAGGTTTGCTTCTTTTCCTTGGCTTTCTCCTAAAAAATAAGTGGTATTTGTTTAAAAATTAAAGAGATGTTTGGGTTAAGAAAGGATATGCATGAGCAAAATGAATTTGAGTGATTCATATTATAGAAAAGCTGAGCCAAAATAAGGGCTGGGCCACTGGAATAATTTAGATGAGACGTATTTCGAACCGTGGCGAGTAGTTTCGGGAACCATGGGCCCTACTTCTGATCAGATGGAATTTGAAGAAAAAGATCACATGCTTAGTTGTGGGTTCGAGTCCCAACCAAGTAAGCTAGTTGTTTTTTTCTCGCACGCCCTTGGACAACACTGAATATGCAGTGTTTATAAAATACGTTTGGGAAGGGAAAAACCCCATGCAAAATTTACATACTTGGTGTATTTTAATCACTTGCTCACTAAAATCCTCTATTAACATACTTTTATTTTTCAAAACAAAAACCAAACATGCATAAAACATTCAAGTGAAAATGACAAACAACAGCTTGCTTTGGAAAATCGAACAAAAAAAATCACAGCAGTTCAACTATAAAGACTACTTTTTCTAGGAAAATATAAAAAAATGAAATGGACACCAAAGAGCTAGATTTGCAGAAATGAAGGAAAATAAAATCACGAAATGGAGCAAATTCAGAAAAGAATGGAGGAGGAATGCGTCCTGTAGTGGAATGCTACATTCTACACTGACACTGAATTGGAGCAAAATTTAATTCAAGCACTGATTAGGGGAGAATGTAGAATTAAACAGGCGGTAATTCGAGGTTTACGTCAAGGTTTTATGAAGTGGGTACTACTATCTCAGGGTAAAACCTGGAGTTACCCCTTGTTTAATTTTGCATTCTTACCTTATCTTTCTCAAAGCTCTTACACACAATGTGATGAGTTTAATGACAGCAATGTTAATTTGCAAGGAAAAAAAATAAGAACTAAATAAAAAGAAACACAAAAGAAAGAGACTGTAACAAAAAAAAACAAGTTTGTGGTTGAAGGCAAGAAATTCATTCAAGAGCCAAAAAACACAAAATTAAGATTTCAATGAACATATTAAAACAAAATCTGCGAGCAACATTTTCCATACAAGTGCTGTAAGATTTTCAACTTAAAAACTGTCAAAAAAAGAGTACGTAACTGGAAAAGAAACTTGTCTTTACTCATCACAAAAATGCAAAGATTTGTGATTACAGGCAAGGAGATATTCAGGTGTCATAAAAAAAAAGGGAAACAAAAAAGAGAGGAAACAAAAATACAATTTTCTACTAAGTTTCTAGCAAACTAGCAAACTAAAAAACTCTCGAGAATTCCAAACACAAAATTGTTTTCACAGCAGACCAAAGAAGGAATTTATTCTTTAATTTGCTCCAACCTCAGCCTATGAGTCACCGTTGCATTTCCCAGACACGCAACCGTAGCAGGATGTCAAGGTTGAAGGTCATAGTACAGCCATGGGTTTGGGATGGCATGTAAGGAGACGCAGAAAAGATGCAATGGACCAAATAAGAAAGGCGGCAATATACAGGTCATGGTTAGATTGTTACAAAAGTTAATAGGGGTATTATATGGTGCCGAGTTGAGGGATAAAATTGGTAACGTTACAAAAACTAAGCAGTTTGATATGAAAACATTGATTTAGATCGAGCTTATTTTTTATTTTTCCATCATGATGATTTGAGCAATCATTGACTTGAATTTGGGAACAAGTTCGGGGAGGACTATGGTTCACTATAGCTTGACTAACTTCACTTGAATGCAGGACGGTTGGACTAATCTAGTAGACTATTTGGAACCGGAGCCCCGGTTGCATCACTGGTTACAAATAGCTGTTTGCATCATAATGCGCCGCTGTGAGCCAGTATCGATGGGTTCTGTGATGATGATTTGACCAGCGTTTCACATGTTGCTATAGGTATGCAGGTGCAAGTAAAGTCACGAATCAACTACTAGTCGACTAACGGTCCTGGCCCGAACTTGGTTTCCCATTCAGATGTAACTACAATTGTGATATTTCCTAATTATTAACTTCATGTCACTCAGGATTTGAAGCTGCAACCTCCGTGCAACACACCATTGACAACACCCACACTGGGCTGGGTACTGTGTTCAAGAGGAAGCAGGTTCGAATCCTGTTAAGTCAATTTTTTGTTTGACCTAAAATATCGGTTAAAGCTGTATCCGAATAACTTGACTATGACCAGCAGTAAAGAAACACACGTGTCTCTGGGAACAGGTTTTGGCTGCTTTTTATTAGCGATGTGTATAAATGCCGGACACTGTCAAGTAGTGTGGATGCAGCCTGAGAGTGAACCCAAACTGTTTCCCTTGGTGACTGATTTGAAGCTTTTTATCTTTATATAGGGAGTTTATTAACTTGATAAGTTTGTAAACTTGATGAGCAAACCTGTTTTTCCTGGTCCTCCTTGTAAGCATCGTAGATCTCCCACTGGTTACCGGTGGCGGAGAAGTTGGCTCTGGGCGGTGGCTCCGTCTGGGTGGCCCGTTCCTAGAACAGAAATTTGACATTTAACGGTGCGGAAAGTTTTTTTGTAACCAGTCACTGAATTCTTTTTTGACTTATGACAACCAAGAAATTATGTAAGTAGAAAGTGTCAGAATCTAGCCAAAGGGTACATGTTTTGTTGCTCTGACTGATTACTATCTGTGCTTTATTATTAACAAGCTGATTTACAATCATGATCGGGTAGGGCGTATTTGTGTTGGGGTTTAAAAGTGTGGGGAGTAATGTCAAGGGGGATTTGGGCTGAAAATACAGTAACCTTTATGGACATGCAAGTGCAAGAGATACAAAATAAGAAACTATAAAGGGCCAATTTCATGAAGTTACTAAGCAGAAAAATATTGCTTAGCAAATTTATGTGGTAAGCACGAAATCAGCTGACAACCGGTCAGAAGCAATATATATTGCATGAGATTTTGGCAGGTAACCTGTATCTGCTTAGCAAATATTTTCTCTGCTAAGCAAATTTCTGTGCTTAGTTGGTCCATAAAATTGGCCCCAGAATACATTGCTTATATAGTAATACCAGATAACTAACCAAACTGCCAAGGGATTAGTGTTGCTCGGACTGGTTCTCAGCCAATTTTTGCTTAGCATATAAAGTTGATGGGCAAAATTTTCTAAACGGCAGCGCTACAAAATTGGGCAAGATGGTAAGACAAACTCATGGTGCAGCTTAACACAAAATATGCCCAAGTTATTCAAAGACACGGTTGCATTGTTCATAGGATGCTGCATACGTCAAACTTTGCCTTTCTGCTAACGCTTGCATACGGCCCAATTTCATGGCACTGCTAAGCACACGTTTTTATGAGACTGTAAGCAGTAAGCACCGCAAAACTTACTTCAGAGGAAAAATTTGCTTAAATTAGTGACGTAACAATAGAAATCTCCATGCACACGCGACTGTTAGCACATTCACGCCGTGAAACAGTGCTTAAGGTTAGCAAATTTTTCTGCTATACTAAGCACAAATTTTCTGCTAACTGTTAAGCAGTGCCGTAAAATTGGGCCCTGGTTATCAGTAACAAATTCTCTTCTACACATCACCCTATACTCACTCTGTAGGGATTGTTGTAGGTTTGGGAAGCCCTCTCGCTGTAGTTGAACTGGTTAGTCAGCTTCTTATTGTCGCCTCCCTTGGGAGGGGCTGGGGTGCTCTCCTCGTCCCTCTTGTCAGCACCTTCTTCCACCTGCAAGAAAATGGAACAGTCGTCAACTATGAACCAAGCAACAGTGGGCCTTTGTGATGATGTACTTTTTTGTTCAACTTATTTTTGGGGAGAGGGGGAGGGTTTCAAAGTGGCTACTGTTACAGATATGAAGCATTTTGAAAAGTGATTTAAGGAGAATTATCTTCCTTTTTATTTAGTATGACAATGGAGTTTTTCAAGTGCTAAATGATTCAAATTTCAGAGTTCAAAAATCAGTCAAGTGATGAGGCTCAAGAGTCTCATTATTTAAAGATCTTCATGAACTTTTAAATTCTCCTTTTGTTTTCAATTGTTAAAATTTCAAGAAACAAAATCGGTCCAGCAGCAAGGCTAGGGAGTGTCATTACAGAGAATATTGTTAGTTACACTACAGTATTTCTGTTCATTTTTTTTAAGAACTAGAATTTCTTTCCTGGTACCCTGCTAGTTCCAGGGTTCCCTACCTCGGCTTTCTCTTCGCCTTCTTCATCTTTCTTTTCCTCTTCCGCCTCGCTGATGGCCTGGTCGCTCACAGCTGCATCAAAGTCAAAGAAAACAAGAAAATCAATCAAAGATCATTACACCAAAAAGTACTTACAAAAATAACTTCAACAGATATTAACAACATTTTCCAACCACTTTTAGACATACTTAATGTCTATTCTAGTTTCGTTATTGTGATCATAAGAAAAGGTGAGAGACCCGAAATTAGGAATAGAATGTTTCCCAACATTCCTGACCACTTCAATGAAAAGAAGTATGAATATTTTTTACAAGGATTTTATGTCATGCATATATATATGAATATATACCTCATCTATAGACTACATGTAATTCGGTGACGGCCATTTTCTGAGGTGGCACCAGGTTCGCGCGAGTCGTGCTTAGGTAGTATGCACGCACTCCTAGGCTCCCCCGACCATGATAGGGTTACCAGACTGTGCGAGCGCCTTGTCTTTCAGAATGCGTGCGGCATGCGCATGAATGCGGTTCCACCCAAAAAAATCCATGGCAGCAGGTACTTGTCTATAATGAACTAGAAACTATTTCAAATCCCACCCATTTCCAAAATGTTCAGCCACGATCTTTTCTCTGGGTATGGGTATTAATAGAGGGTGTATGATGAGTTTGTTTTTCCATTTTTTTCCTTAGTTTAAATTTTCTGAAAAAATATCAAAAATGTATCCAAAATATACCCCCAACATTTTCAGAACTTGCCAAAGCAGATTCTCATGAATGGAGGCCCTCCCAGAAATATAGCCCCTCCTCTAAAATGTGGGCTGGAATCGTGTGATTTAATAAGTAACAGAATGGATTCTTGTTCTTTATAGACAGGTTGAATGGGTGAAGCTTTCTGGATGATCAGTGTAGCAATACAATATATGAACAATCTAAGTGCTGTTACGATATATGTACCATATATGGATCAGTGTAGCAATACAATATATGAACAATCTAAGTGCTGTTACGATATATGTACCATATATGGATCAGTGTAGCAATACAATATATGAACAATCTAAGTGCTGTTACAATATATGTACCATATATGGATCAGTGTAGCAATACAATATATGAACAATCTAAGTGCTGTTACGATATATATACGTACCATTATATACATGAGTAGCATTATGACATAAAGAAGCATTATGAAATAAGCAATGACTTACAGGCACAGAGGAAAGCAGCGATTTGTTTCTTTAATAATAATGGTCACATCTGAGCAGGCTATTAACTTTTCCTTGTATTAGTTCTGGGAAAGCACCGAGTATACTGTGCTTATGTGAAGAGCACATTAAACCCACTATTGAAATTTTCACCTCTCCAATGCAAAATGTCTTAACGGCAGTCACTAATATGGTTCAGCTGAAGCAGAATCAATAACCCCAATGAAAAAAATCAAAATACGGACATTTTAAAACTATGGTCCATCCTGAAACGAATACTTTTCACAGGCATTACTAGACATCTGAGGCATATTTCAAACCCTGTTCTCGTGTTAAATGAACCACGAGGGGGTTCCGAATGACGGGAACCAACACACAAACGATGTTCGCGAACTGGATTTTCACTCCTCACTTATTGAGGATTATATGAAGAACGTCAAGAACCAAGATGGCGGACTTAGGCCCCTACCGGAACATGCGTCAATTTTTTAACACTGTTCGCGGGTCACCCGAGAACGGGGTTTCAAATACGCCCCTGACGTATCACATAACAAGATGGAGGATGTCAAGTTTTTATAAGACTTGTAATTTGATTCTGTTGCTACTATGCCTCGCTGAATGGAATGGGCTTCAGTGCACAAGTACCCCCTCAACAGTTACAAGAGACCACTGAGAGGGAGGTACATTTTAACGCACTGCTGACGGTTTCTTGTGAATGTGATGCCGTTTCAGTGCACATTTATAATAAAATGAGTTGTGTGTACTTCGCACTATAATGCAACCCAACCAGTACGTGCATGTGGTAAGTCTTTCCCAGTGGAGCTCTGAACAGCGCCACCTACTGTCGACTGTTCTTTCATGCAGTCTATATGAATATGTAGCATGCATATAGCGGTATACATAGCAGCCTACGGCAATCCATATGCAGCAAAGACACTACTGACTGGCAGAATGTTCATGGAATGAGTTGGAGAAAATTCCAGCAATACCTACCGCCGCTCTTCATTCTCTTCGTGAAGAGATATTCTTTCGACGAAATAACAAGAAAAACAAAGAAAGAGAGCACACACGGATGATGAAAAAAAAAGCTTGGCTAGTCTACGCTGACAGACTATTCAGCAAAACCAACAAGTAAAAATACATTTCAATGGTACACATTTCAACTTCACATCGGTAGGTAAGTCTCTGTCTTTTTTTACAAACAGTTCCGGCAATTGGATATACGAAACATGATCTTAAAAGAGCGATACATTTTGGAAATATCCACTTAAACAGGAAGACCAGGTTGAGTTGCTACAATCAAGTTCACAAATTTGAAATTCAAAGCAAGATCTAAAATTAAACATTTAACAAAAAGGTAAATTTACCATTGCTGAAAGGTTAAATGTTTTGAATTGTATTAAACAAAATGTGCTTTTGCAAAAAAAAAAGGATTATTAAGTGAATAAGATTTGCTACTTTCATAAAATTGGAAGGCACCGACTTGAAATCTGGTCACGAGAATGTTCTTTGCCATTTATTAACCAAAGAGGATGTTGTAATAACTGACAGGCTCGTAAAAAACTCTCTTTAATTATTATTGGACAGGTTACAACTTTTCATTTTGATAAAACACTACAACAAACTATGAGAGATGTCTACGATGTCTTGAATACTTGGTTTGCTATTGGCAACTAAATGGATCAAAAACACGCACACACGCACACGCATGATTTGAAGATTTTGGTGACGAAAGTGTTACTGAAAGAAGTGTTAGTAATCAAACCGAAAATGATGAACAAATGTATCTTCAAGGGAAACAACAATGTTGAAGTCGATGTAGACGTATTTGTGATGGATCAGAAGTACATCACAAGTCCGGTCACAAGTTACAGAGGATGAACCATAACAAACGAATGTCTTTGTCAAAGCTCATTTGAATAGCTTGTGAGTTGACTTGGGACTGGAGGACTTGTGATGAGACTTGTGATTGACTTGTGATTCTCCACATGTACCTCAACAACAATATTAGGAAACAGTGAAAACATGGTCACCACAATGTGCAGTTTTCATCACAATGAATGATTGGACTTTTTTCTGTTTTTAATATAAGTTGGAAAACTAGCTTGATAATATAAATTTGAAATTCAATCCCAGAGTGTGATTGTCTTTTCTTATTTAAAAAAATAAAAATCAAATGAAATTTTTTTCCCAGTGATAAATATAGAACTTTCCAGTAGATAAAAATATTAATCAATTCAAAAATGTCATTAGATGGATAATGATGCTGATTGCGGAAATAATGAAATGACTTGGACTTACTTTCTGCTGCACCATATTTGGCTTTCTGTCGCCGGGCCTCGTCCGAGTCTTTGTGGATCATGTTGCCATCCAGAGAGAAATGAATGGCCAACTGGTCCACATGAGACGTCTGCTTGAAGGAACGATCCTGTGGGAAAGAGTTTGGGGAAGTAAGTTCATATTCAGGTTTATTTTAGGAAATGTGAATTAGTTGTCGGCTAAAGAGATGCGTTCCCCGTACTATTTCAAGTTTCACCTCAGGAATTTTTTTTTTTCAATTGCTTTTTGCCCAGCAATATAAAGTTACTCACTTTTGAATGCCTCAACAACAAAAAACAAAAAAAAAATCTACCAAGATTTCAGTTATTGCATTATTTCTTCCCAAAATTCAAATTATTGGCTGCCAGACAATAAATCAGCTCTCATAGGGTGGGTTCATTAGTGCACAAAATGAAAGACCTTTTTCGGAAGGTTGCAGAGGCCAAAATAAGGATTATAAAGTAGTTTTTTTGTTGTTAAAACAAAACATAGAAATTGAACATTAGTTAAGAGGAAAAAAAGAAGGTTTTTTAAAGAGCATGGTGTGTGCAACTTCAATTTTCAAGCCCCTGTGAAGGCTAAGTCATTTTGAATGGCATATTTGGCAGGTAATCAGATTCTTTTTGGGAGGCAACATGTTCCCATCAAATACCCTCAAGGTGTTCCAACACCTAGAACAGGCAAATATCTGCCGTTTAAACTTGAGATACTTACCTTGAAGTTGTACCGGACGATATTTTGTGGTGCGTGGGGATTGTTGGCTGTCAGAATGCGTGTGAATTCCTCCTTCAGCTCCTGCAAATCAAAGAAGATCAACTGAATTCTTTCCTGGAAATTTGTTTGATATCACGAGTAATTTTTTTTTGATGAGAGTTTTGCAAGCTGATAACTGAAGTTAATAGTTTTGGACGTCCTTCAAGATAGCAATGGGCAGCTTTTGCATACAATAATACAAAACAAAACTCTGTGACAATAAAAACAAAGAAAATACACTTACACCTTCTGACAAATCCAGCTGATCGTCAGGCTTGATGAGAGATTTGGTCTGGATGGAAAAATAAAACACCACAAGTTGTCAATTCTGACCCAATTTACTACTTAAAAGCTTCCAAATCCTACAATCACCAAAACGTAGAAGAAAAAGTATAACTGCAATAACATTTGTATACACATTATCTTGTGTCTATCAAGCATACAAAATAAAACTTGTTTTCTTTACCCCTTAGCAAGCTTATAAATCATTGCATAAAACATTGTCAGAAAAACCTGAGCGTTGCAAGTTAAGCACAGAGGACTTTTACAATCACTGCCATCACCACTGCTAATTTTCAACCTGGCTATAGTAAAGCATCTCAGAAGCTTGTTGCACTGTGTCTTGCTCAAGGACACAAGTCAACACAATCTTATGGCAGTGTTTGGAACATTACACTGTATGTCTCTACACATGAAGCCGAGGTGTTGCAACAAACATCGGCACATACCTGCATCCATTCCTCACCGTGGCCTCCTTCCCCAATCTCAGTGACGTCATCTCTGATATCATCCTAGACATATCAAACAAATTTAACGTGAGTAGAACTTATACAATGAATACGCACAGGATGTACATTGAGTCTGATCAGGAAAATCGAGCAGTCAAATTAGACCTTATAATTAATGGACCGTTCCAGATGTGGCCACAAGCCCCGCCCACTTTTGATTTGTTTACATTTCTCACAGTGTTTGTGACTAAAGTTTGATCACCTGACCAAAAGTCATGATCTGATTGGTCAATGCACACAGCTCGATTGACACACAGGGAGGGTCCATTATCCATGCTACAAGACCCTGTGAACCTTCTGTACTTTGAATCCCCTTGGATGGGACAGATAAACAGGACACAATAAATCTGCAAAAGTTCTATAATTTTACCTTGAGAGCTACTTTTGCTCCCCCCATGCTGACTCTAGGAGGACGTCCTTTGCCCACCTTCAGACTGCTCGTGCCCCCTCCACCCTGAGAGAAGGAAAAAAGAAAGACAATTAGAACACATTGAAACAAATCTTTACAGACTACTGAACCAGGTCCATTGACTGTACGTTTAAATTTTGGGTTCAGGATGATATTCCTGCGCAATTGTGTCTTTCTTTCAAACTACGTGATTGTGTCTTCCATAACCAAAATGCATTGCCATGCCAGAGATTCTGAGACTTTAACCTGCATTCAACGTGAGACATGCAAATTGTCCCCGAGTTGTCCTACTGAGTCGAGTTGGCAAAGGGTTGAGTTGTCCGGCATCCATTTGGTGCATAGTTCGACAAGTCGCACTTCACTGTCTATAACGTTTGGCGCAATCAGTTGATCAGCGCAATCAGTTGATCAGCGCGATCAGTCGATTGCCTTGCCTGATACTGATAGGTCGATTCCGTAGGATATCTCGGACTTTACTTACCTTAAGTTAAAAAAAAAATCCTTCTGAATTGTGATAGAGTCATGATCGAACGATAGCGCAACGCAATCAACTGATGGTGTACATCGACCGAACATGCCCAACATATATCGTCTGACCCTCTAAAATGATCTTCGTCAATTATGGTGACTTGAGGATACGCACGGGCACAAGCAATATGCAAGAATATTGCAATCGTAAAATTCAAGTGAATGGACACTGCGCGCAGACAATGGCAATGCTCACTCACAACTTGTGAGTTTTGACCAAAGCAGTTGACCTTGCCATTGCGCGTGCTCACAGCCCAATCAAAATATGCTACACAGTCAGTGGGAGCAACTATAGAATGCAGGGCCACGCCGGAAAAGGTTTTTTTTTTGTAGTTGGATGCGATGTGAGGAGTGGGGTCGTTGGGCACTCTTTTGAGAACGAAGCAACATTGGTATATATGAGACTTCTCCTATGCTAACGCATACGCACGTATCACGCGTATGTACGTGGGTATGTACGGTATGAACGTAGATGTATATAAAAAAAAAAATAGGGGGCGGTATAAAGAGTGAATGAGCATGAAGTAAATGATCAATAGAGGGCGCTATAGAAAGTGAATTATTGACAAGTTCGCAGAATATATCCGCGGCCGCGGGGTGGGCATGAAGTAAATTTTAATCAATAGAGGGCGCTTTATTGGATGCGCGGATGCGTGGATGCGAAGTGGGATGAAGTAAATTTTAATCAATAGAGAACGCTATAGAAATGCGCGGATGGCATGAAGTTAATTTAATCAATAGAGGGCGCTTTATTGGATGCCTGGATGCGCGGACGCAGAGTGGGCATGAAGTAAATTTTAATCAATAGAGGGCGCTATAGAAAACCGACTGCGCATCCACGCAACCATGGATGCGCGGATATAGAATGGAGTGGCCCTGTATTCTATAGTTGTGCCAGTCAGTGGGCCACGTTTGCAAACTTGTGCGAGGCACAGGTCTGAGAACCGTTTGGTTGATAGTCAGGTTCCAAGACGAAAAGATTCTAAATCGAATATTGTCACGTCAGGGAGCCAGACAGTCATCTCCCGGATTTTTTATGATTGTTTATGCCTATTTAGTCCTAGAAGTTTATTAAAACTTGAAAGAAAATGAGTCTTCAGTTTAATATAGTTCACTTGTTAGTTGATAATAAAAAGTCTATATTTACCTGTTTAGATTTTGCCGGAGCCTTAACCGGCATTTTCGTAAATTCAGTGTCTAAACTCGTGTAAGAATCTGAGCTTCTTCCCCGAATTTGTCGACATCGACTAGAGTCTGTTGTTAAGGTAACTGAGCATGCGCTGATGGTTTGGGATTAATAATTTTAATATATGGAAAACGTTCGACAAAATAAATGTAATATAATTAAACAATTTTAAAATTAAGTAATATTTGCTATAGTATTACATTTAAATTCTTTTATTTATGTTTTATAATGATTTTATAAGCTATTTTTAAAAATTAAATATAATGAAATAAAATGAGCGAGCCAAAAAAATATATTGACGACTGTTTTATAATTGTATACATAAAACCATACAACAACCGTCGCGTCTGGCATAAGTGAGAAAAAGAATTATTGAGGGCGCTCTTCACCAAAGTTAGTTGAGCAAGCAGCTGGAATGATGTGGAAATTTTAGAATGAGCGATGTTTTTCGCTACCGAATGTCATATTTCTTGATTGAAAATGGACGAGGACGAAACAGACAGTGGATATTCTACTTCAATAAATGATAACGCAAAGGTAAATGTTTGTTTTTCATTCCTTTTTTAAATTAAATTGTCAAAAACACGTCAAGGTTTGACTCTTTCTACCTCCATGCAAAGTGTAGTGTAGGACGCGTGCACGGCTCTTCTTGATCTTTTGCCAAAACATTGGGGGGGGGGGGCGGGGCTACAGCAAGTAACCTGTGTACTACATCATACTTGTGTAACGTTAGTTATAACTTATATAGTATGTTCTGAGTTTAGTATTATTACATTGGAGGTTATGTATATTTTATTATAGGAGAAAACCACTGTCTTATTTTGGAAAAATAGGCGATCGTGTAGTGTAGGGCCGGGCCCCTGTACTGTTTTGATCAAATTAGAGTCAAAAATGTTTTGTATTGCTAAAAAATCACCTTTGCTTTAGTTTTACAATCAAAAGCAGACTTTTCTCAATTCTAAGTACACCTGTTTTGCAATTTTGAACAGTTTTTTTTGGTAGAAATTAGTCTGAGTAGCTAGGACTCTGAAAAAAGCCTTTTTTAACATTTGGACATGGTCGGGCGACCATGTTTAAATGTTAAAAAAGGCGATAGGAATAGGTAGAAATCACGATTTTCCTGCGCGGTTTGTGCCTTGTGATTCAGCGCGACGTGCGTGCTCACGGTACATTGCGCGGTGATCGCCATCTTTATTTTCGGGTTGCGTGTTGTCGCCGCGCTGTTATCGTTATTTTGCCCCCAAATTTCCCTTTAAAAAAATCACAACCCTGCCCTCTATCTATGACATACCAGTTTATTGAGTTTGGTCGGTCTAATCATTCTAAAGTGGATTTTGTTCCCTTATAGGAACCGACCGTACACAACACGATTGCCGAAAAAATCAGGCACAATCGCAGAATACCCCGCCACTCCATCTATGCACCTCGTAGCCGGCTACGGAGTCACGGTTGATTGCCCTCAACAAACCTTCTCAGCGCTACATGTATGTACTATGCGTCATGCTCCACTGCACTCCTAAGCCGAACCCGCGTAGCTGGCAACAGAATAGTTAGTTTGGACTTAAATTTTTTTCAGCAACTCCCATTGCTTTTGTGTTGCTTCGTTCTCGAGGGGACCTCCACTCAGTATCCACATGGCAGCTGGCAACAATTGGTTTGAACTTGAATTCTTTCTTTTCCAGCGATTCCAACCACATAGCCAGATGATTTTAGGGGAGTACTTACGAGTGGCGGGGTATTCTGCAATTACTCCAAAAATCAATATTGAATTAAGGTAATCATGCCTGTAGTGGTAATGGCATTGTCATTGTACCTCTCTGTTTTCGAGGCATCAGGTTTTTGAGGTTTGACAATTGCCCTTGTACTAGTTGTAGCAACGGTACGCACACGCGCATATTCGTATCACACAGCCAGTTGATTTGTTGTGTGTGCGGTACGTGTTCCACCGCAAGCCAACAAATTTGGAAGCTGAAGGCACCTTTCCATTAGCCTTCTAGGATTGTGAGATCAGGGGATCAGTACCCTATGGCTTCTGGAAATGATTCGGCAGCCCAAAATATAAAAAATGTTGAAATTTATTCGCTTCATCATGCCAAAAACACCTCCATTTAGACGGCATCGGGGTGGTCACAGTCGCTGATGCAAAGATGCTCCTGGTAAAGGGTGACATATGCCCTCGTAGTTGTCTTGGATCTTGGGTTGGCATCCTCCTAAATAAATAGAGTTTTATCACTGGAGGTGTCAATCTAACAAACTGAACAGTCCAGATTACTGTGTATGAGAGTCCCAAAACTTAAGGTATTGTAAACATGCAACCTTGCGCACTTCACAAAGACATTTCGAATTCAGAGGTTAACAATTTGATAAGACCAAGTTCCCTTAGACAGATTAGGCCAAAGAAAAATAGTTCTGCTTCCGATTACGCATTTCAAAACAGGGTAGGTAGGTAGGGAATTTTTTTGTTTTGCCAATTCTTTTGTGTACGATCATATGGAGGCGTCTGCGTGTAGTCAAGGGTAAAAGGTAGAAATTGATGGTTTTGGGTGTTTTTTCCCCCCATTTTTCCCATGAAAAAAAATGAGGGTAGGGGCTGTCAGAATAGGGTAGGTAGGGAAACCGGAAGGGCAATTCCACGGAACCTTACCCATGTTACATTTTTGATGTACTTTTGTGTTATGTATGATAAACAAGACGCACAAAAGCGGTTACTCACGTTACGAAAATGTAACGTGAGTAACCGATTTTGTGCGTCTTGTTTATCATAACACATTTTTCTGGATGTCATCTTTGGCGCTTAGGTAGGTCTAGGTCTACTCTATCTACCATGGGGATAACAGTTATTAAACCTTTTTCAGTAAGGTAATTACAGCCCAAGGAAACTCAAAAGTACATCAAAAATGTAACGTGAGTAACCGTGGAATTGCCCATAAGCAGAACTATTATTTTTTTGGCCTTAACACTAAGCCAACAGTTTAAATCTTGTGTACAAACGTTGGCTTTAAGGGGTCTACAGTAGGCAACTGATTTATTGCAAGTTAACTTGTTGCCAGTGTTCTACTGGTGGTAAGGGGTCTGTGTGTGGAAGTTCGCACATTACTCACATGTGCATTGACTATAATGAGGAAACCAACAAAGCTGTGAGGTTTAATCAGACATGAACCAGTGGCATTGTCAACAGATATTAACACCAATCTGTATACTTAAATCACAGCACAGCAAACCTGTAGCAAGGTGAATTTGGTTTAGGTTTTGTTCGCTGGATTTTTGAGGATAGGACAGTGATTACTTGGCATGTAAGCTGAACTGCAATTTTCAGAGTTACATGTATATCACTGGAGAGGGAAGGTAATGGGTATGTATATGAACACATACACTTGTCATGTTCTAAAACAGTTTTAGATGCTCCAAAGTGGTCCAGAAAAAAATCCAGTGAGTATTACACTGTAAAATTCTGATGCTGTCCAACACACAATTGTGAATATTTTTTTTTTTTTACTATACTTGGTTTTCTCCACTCATTATTTCTAGTTGTAAATGAAAATTAAGAATGGCTCAATCCCTGATGCACTATTGGCTCCATTTTGTTGCATAAACAACTCTGAATATATTTGTCGTAGTTGTCAACGGTTTTGTATTGTTTTGATAGACATGGGTAAACTACATTTTTTTTGCATTCATTGTTACAAAAAAGAATACCCTTTGATATACCGGCAACACATACATGTAAGGTCCATTAAGTGTTCTTTGCACTGTATAATCTTGTTCAAACCCTTCAATTGTTTGATCAGACACAGACAGTATACAAATATAACATGATTTGAGGGTGGACAGTCGATATTGGCTCCCCGAGGTATTGGAAGTTGACAAACTAGTTCCCGAGGCGAAGCCGAGGGAACTAGTTTGTCAACTTCCAATACCGAGGGGAGCTAATATCGGCTGTCCTCCCGAAATAAACCATGTTATATTTGTTTTACTATACCTCATACATATATTCAGTTGCCGATTTTTCCCGCAGTATGCATCCGCAAAAATATCTTCAGAGAAACTTGTCCAGCTCACCAGAAGAATAATATTGCTCAAACTCTGAAAATAGCAGTTTGTTTGCAATACAGTAACTACGGTTGTAAGTACAATTGTTTGTGGACAACTTTTTTTTAGCACATGCATCTTTATAATTGTCCACAATATTCTCCAATTTGGCATCATTTAGCTGAGGAAAACGCTTATCATCATTACGATGTGCCATCATCGTTTCATGTGTAGCTATAGTATAGGGCGATGTTCACGCGTGCGTGCTTCACCTGTGCGACAGTTCAACGATTGCTTCGTAAAGCGCATGCGTAGTAGACTGTCGCACGGGTAACCCGTGCGACAGTCTACTACGCATGCGTACTTAGCCTGTGCATGAATATTCGCGCGCGCGTTTGGTAAACAGCAAAAATAACATCTGGCACGTGATGGTGAATGGACCAGTGAGAATTCGGCTTTCGGTCATGAATATGTATGAGTTATAGTAATCAAAAATGTATGTCTCCACTTCCCCTGCCAAGCATTTGTATGTAGACTAGTAACAAACAGTCAGATCACATTCGTGTTAAGCTCTGTCATATTCCACCAACAGATGAAAGAGGTAACTGCATGGTAGGTACAGCTGGCATATCAATCACCTCCAGTCAAAGTATGGCTATATCAAATTAACAAGGGAATTTGTAACTGTTATAAGCAGTCACTTGATTGCGTGATGGGGGAGCTGAATTTGTCTGCCAGAGAAGGAGTGATCAAGTAGCACATTGTTTATTTCTGTAACATTTGGCCAATTTTCAGTTCTGCTTTTTAACCAAAATTGCAATTTTTATTTTGACATTCACAGGTTCACATCAAGGATCAATCCAACGGCACCACGCTGGAACAGCGTGACATCAATGGGCACAAAGTGACCAACGGTCTGAAGACCTACCGGAGACCATCTCCATTACAGATTAAGATGGGTAAGGTCAGGGGTCAATTGAAGAGGGGTCAAAGCTCATGTGGTTAGGGAATGAGATGGTTGTATGTCGTGATCTTCTGGTGAGAAATGGCATAACACTAAATACGTACTTGTACATGTACATATTGCCTTGGCCCTCATAAGGCGTGTACAGTAAAAAGAGAACAGTGTGCAGCGGAGTTGTAGTCAATACCTCAAAAGTCAATCACAACGTCAGTCACAAGCCAATCACAGGCCAATCACAAGTCAATCACAAGTCAATCACAAGTCAATCACAAGTCGATCATAAGACAATCGCAAGCCAATCACAAGTCAATCACAAGCCAATCATATATCAATCACAGGCCAATCCCAAGCCCATCACAAGCCGATCATAAGACAATCACAAGCCAATCAATCACAAGCCAATTGCAAGTCCATCACAAGCCCATCACAAGCCAATCACAAGCCAATCACAAGTCAATCACAAGTCAATTGCAAGTCAAGTGACAAGCTGTTCAAATGGACTGTGACAGTAGTTAAATTCCTTTGTCATTGTTGTGCATCCCCCGCTTTTGTGACCTGACATTTGATTGGACTTGTGATCTGACAAGTTTGTGATTTGAATTATGATCTGACTAATGATTTGACATGGATTGCCTCTTTGTGGATATGATTTTGTTGACATTTAGTTGACAAGAATAAAATATGTGCAATAATTGGTGGGAAAAATCATGTCATGAAACAAACACACACTGCATTTGGAATCTAATTCAACTCAGTGCCACTTATTGAGAGGATCATGATTTGTACATTAATGTTTTGAAGCACTGCTTTTGTTTATCATTAAAACAAATAAGTGTCAAAAATATGAAAGGACCGAATTCATTATTCATACATTGTACATGCATACACACATACAAAAATACATTTGTTCCATAAAAACACTAATAATACGGACATTTGCAACCCAGCCAATTTGAATGTCTACATACAGTACCGTATGTACAATGTACATGTTATTTTAGAAGTCATCTAAGGTTTTCCGTTTTCACCTAGCCATTTGAGCTTGAAGGCCAAATGTTAAATTGAAAGGGACACTTTCAATCAGCCATGTCAGCAGACGATGGGACATGTACATATTACCATAATCACCATAATTAATATAATTTGTCTCAATAACTTGAGGTTTTATTGCGTGGCATTTGGGACGTGCACCCACAGTGCGTGCACGTGGGTGTGGTACTGCTGTGTTCTATGCGTGAGCGTGTTTACGTACATACATGTATGGCTTTAAGATAGAGGACAGACACACAAAGAGAGATCAGAAGATCCTTTCAGTCCTCGAGCGTTTGGTCTTTGTTAAAAATGGTCCTCAATTGTACGGTTATGTACTTAGTCTATGGGAGAGCGTTATATTACAGGGACAATGTAATATAACACTTACAGGAAGCACAAAGCATTGTCCTCGGGCGTATAGAAATTCACGACTGTGGTGTTAAAGTGTGTCTGTAACCCTGCAACTAAAGATAAATACATTTTCCTAGAAATCTACATTGTTAAGTTACATTTTTTTGGTTGGTCTTAAAGTTGCAGTTTACTTAAATGCATTTCCTATACATGTATATGGTTTCTACCAAAAAGTAAAAAATACTGGAAATAATTTTTTTTTTATGAAGTAGACCCTTTAAGTTTAACAAGGCGTGGTTTTTTTTATTGTGAATAGAAACGTGATAATTTTTGTGTACTGTCCACAGACTACAAATTTAGTAGGATAGCATGGAGGACAATTGTGGTGATCTCAGTTTGTCCACGGTTCGTGGTTTTCAGTATGAAAGTCTTTGGTTTGGGGTTCCGAATGAAATGACTTTAATGTCTAGTCTACTCTCCATGACTTTGGGTTTCATTATGTAGAAACTCAGACTGTGCTGTGAATACATATTTGGTTGGAGATTGCTCACAATACTTTTATGCAATCTTTCTTCATAAGGCTTTACTGTTCAGTTTTCATGTCACACTTCCGTCCAATTTTCCGTGCCTTAATTCAAATTCTCATCACATACACGCAATCCCCAATTGGTTTCCTTTTTTTTTTCCTTTCAAGTTTGACACCATAAGCAATTCCATCCCTCCCCCCTTAAAAATCAAGTTTGCGAATGTTCCAGGTATGCACGGATAGTATACATGTAGAGATAATCAGAGAAATTGGTCCCGTTTTGGGACAGCATAATTACGTAGGGGGTTGCAGGCAGCGCGTTTGGTGTGCCTACCGTGGGGGTAATTGAGGCTCATTCCCCCACGGGCCCTAGCCGTGATCAGTCTGGCGTCTCCCTACTATGAATCTTTAATCCCAAAGACAGGATAGATCTCAGTTGCAGGAGTGACTGGGAAGAAAAGTGCTACGTCTACAAGAAAGGTGGAATGTTATGTATTAGCTTGCCGACAGTCGAAAGCTGTTTCATCACTCACAACTCGTGTGAATCATAGTGCGTGAACTGAAATTAATATGCAATGTAATTACCAGTAGAAGTAAATACATGTATGTATACACTAAATAATGAAAGGTTTGCGGAAAGACCATGTGCGAATAATTTCTCAACTAAGAGAATGGTTCTGAAAAGAACCAGAGGTATAAACTCGACGTTCCGGTCAGTATGCTCTGACCGTCTTCAGGAGAGTCCGTCTTCACTCTCCTGAAGACGGTCAGAGTATACTGACCGGAACGTCGAGTTTATACCTCTGGTTCTTTTCAGAACCATTCTCTTAGTTGAGAAATTTTCGTGCATGGTGTTTCCGCAAACCTTTCATTATTTAGTATCTCCACCATGCAAAGCCTCAAATCTTACTTATGTATACACTACAAGTCTACAGTAGTGGCTAGGGCTGTCCCAAATATACCGAATATTCAAATATTCCATCGTCAACCAAATATTCGAATAGCTTTTTACCGGTTCGAATATTGGGGGGGGGGGGGGGGGGAGGTACCCATGTACACACACGACTGTGATGTTATGTTGATCGTAAAGTTGCGTCGCTTTATTGTCAGATGCCACTTTTTTGTTGATCGTAACCTTTTTGTCGACTGCGGTTCATTGACAGTTTTAAAATACTTACTGCAAGACACTCAAGTGACCAATAATATCGATCACCGTGCCGCACGTAAATTTTAACTGGCGCCCTTTGCGTGCAGCTTTCCATCAGCGCGGCACTCAGTTAACTTGATTGGGGAGTTTCGAATATTCAAATATTCAGTCAAACACAGTTTTGAGTAATCGAATACTTAATTATATTCGAATATGGACAGCCCTAGTAGTGGCATACAAGTACCATATGTGCAGCACACAATGCTTTTGTGTACGTACATGCTCATATCAGCGTGGTCCTGTTCAAACTTAATTTCCTGTCTGATTTATAAGTTGATTCTGATGCATGAGTTGTATCACTTGGGCATCACATGACTACCTGAAGGTCACATGACTGGCACCTTGTAGTCTCTAAATTACCTCAGTAATACAAGCAATACATGTAAAACAGGTCCCATTGAAGTCAATGCTAAATGACAAGTTGTATTACCTCTAAGACATGGGCTCAAAAAGTTGTTTCGCAAATAGTGTAAATCTGAAAATAATTCCTGTTTAACATCAAGTTGTCTTAAATTAAAACCACAAAAATGTGTACAAATTCTTCTGTAAACAAATCAGCTCCTCCCCATACTAGTGTTAATTCCAGAATCGAAATAGAACAATACACCACCGTACATTATAAATCTCAAAGGAGGCAATATTCGGACAAATACCAACAATTATAACATCTCCTACCCTTAAATCCTACAATCTGCCACTTCAACAACCCTCAAATTATTTTTTATGGCAAATTACATTTTATGCTCATCAGTTTATAATTTCATACTTCAGATACATGTACATGCATCTGCAGGACATGTACATGTACATATTATAGCCTCTTTATCAGAGGGGTCTAGTTGACACTGCACAGTGGCAGTGAAATGTAAAGGCACTTGGGAACATTTGCAGTTAACTTGAAATGTAACTACCAATTTAAGAGAAAATTCTCACTCAAAGTGAAGATAGGACTTGTACCAATTACACTGTGAAATTGCTCTGCCTGAAATGGTGTCATTGGGAAGATAACAAAGCATTGAAGGTGGTTAAAGAAAGCTTGCCCACGGGCAGAGTGTGTTTTATGTGTGTGTTAGCAACAGAATGCAGTTACAAGACACCATAAGTTGTGCATACGCTCTGTTTTCTCTTAAGCCTAACTCCCTAGGCATTTTTTGCTACGGTAGGGTGTAACTTCAATCTAGCAAAATCCTCCAACAGCCTCCATGTAAACAGCATACAGCCTCAATCCTCCAAATTCCTCTGGTAAACACTGTCATATCGCTATAATAAGTATTTTGGAGGATTTGGGAAGGTTAGGGTTTTTGTGTGCGTTAGCAACAGAATCCAGTTAGTACGATGTGCATACGCTCTCTTAATGTATAGTATCCACTGAAAATGAAATAAATTTTTTATTCACCCTACTTAAGAGCGTGAACAATTTTTTGCTTCAAATGGAAAAAAAAAATGCACAAAAAAAGATGATCCTGTGTACCTTTAAATTTGCAATTAATCAGGGCGCTAACAGTTTTGCCACTTCCCAGATTGGTGATTTTATGACTGCAGGATCTTGTATGACATTCTCCAGTAGCTGATGAACCTTCTCCGTTTGAGATCAGAAGTACCTTAGCCTCATTCCAGTGTGCTCAGATCAGAGAGTGAGACCTAAGCCGCGTCGGAATAACTTGGCTACGGCTTGCTGGAGCACACATATCATCTATGGGAAGTGATCCAGCCACTTCCATATAGGCACATAGCCGTAGTCAAGTAATTCAGATGCAACCCTACTGATGATGCTGGAACATCTTCATCATCATCAATAATTTTTCCTGGCTTAAGTGTCCCACGGACTGCCCTCCTAAATTGCTGAGACCTAACGGAGCCAAAACAAAACAAAACAAAA